ATTTCGATAACGTAAACAGCGGAAACATAAATTATTTTGCTTTGCGAGTTCCCATCTTTTGTTGGTATTTGCTTCCTTAAATTTTTTACATTCAGATCCGTAGTGACCCTCCTTTTCGCACACTCTGCATTTCGGAGACGGCTTAGTAGTAGCCGCGTGTGCTCTATGTACTGAACGATTGCTTTGTGCTTCGTTTATAATTTCTGGAGGCGCAAATGCACTGCAGAAGTGAGCTTGTTCGGTAATAAACTCGCTGAAGCAGCCGAGGTCTGGTCTAGAGTCATATTTTTCGTTGTAGATTCTATACCACTGGGCACGTATAGAGTTTGGCAGTTTGTCGGTGAGGTGTCGTAGCAGCTCTGCGTTGACGAGGTAATGATCTCGCTTTAGGGCTCTAAGAGTGACGACGCTTCCCCTCACTTTGCTCGCGAATGTGCAGATGTCTCTAAGTGATTCTGTACAGCGTGCTAATCCTCGTAACTTCTCGGTTTCTGCTTGCGCGATTGAATCTGGACGCCCAAATTGTAGCTCCAGTTCTCGCATAATCTCATCTGGCTTAGCATGCCCGATGAGTTCTGAACTGACTGTTTCCAAGGCTCTTCCTTGTAGACTTCGTCTTAGTCTAGCAGTGTTTTCAATATCATTGAAGTAGCCTCGGGTTGTTTCGTAAATGGCACGGAATGAAAGCCACTCGGTATGTGCTCCGCTAAAGCTTGGCAGTGTCATTATAGCTTTCGACGCTGCGAAAGTATGCGACGATAGTGGCGCACTCTCTAACTTTGGTTTGTCAGCGAGCGCGGCTATAGCGGATGTGAGCTCCGATATAAACGGACGGAGCCCCCTGTCTTCACTTATGACAGGTTCCTGGCTAGGTTTCTTAGGCATGAGATCCTTGGGTACATTTGCTGGATAGGAATCCTGGTATGTGAGCTCTGATACATTCGGTAGGAGCCCCCTGTCTTCATCAGCGGTGGGTTCCTGGCTGAGCTTCTGTGGCATGGGATCCTTTTGTGCATCTTCTGGATAGGAATCCTGGTTCGTGAGCTCCTTTTGGGGCTCACTGAGGTCGACAACGTCCGGGGTCGGCTTTGTGACGGTTTTATTAAATGGTGCCTTCCCTCCGGTGATTGCGCCTTGATTTGACTTTTGTTTGGCTACAGAGTTTTCGAGCCAAGATCGAACGTACTCACTTTTGGAGTGACCATCTTCATCATAGTCGTCTGATTCGTCTTCTTCTTCAGCCATCTGTAAGGAGATCTGCGCAAGTTCTAGTTTGATCTTCAATACTTCTTCACGAGCCTTCAAAATTCTTCTATTGGGCCGAACAGTCTTCTTTGACTTAGTACTGCAATCGGTGTGGCCCCTCGGTGGCTCTTCGGTGTGGGTGTCTTCCCGGGCTGGTGGCGATGATGCACGGCTAAAGTCATCGTTGCCTATATGTTCCCTCTGCTTCGTTGTGCGGGCCGTAGAGGACGGCGCGGGTAGGGGTATCCTCCCTCGGGGGGGCAGCATGGCGCCTCAGCGCCCTCTACCGTTGACGGTGAGCGTGGTGGCATCTGGTGGTGGACGGCGGCGTTACTGGCCGACGAACCTCCTTCCAGACCGACGGTCCACGCCTTGGCTGCCCTTCCTTGCGAACGGGTGATCGGCATCTTGAATCTGAAAATTCTGCGGTTTTAATACGGTGGTGACTATTTACCCGGTTCCGAAATACAAACGGATATATCCTGCTCGAAGGACCAACGAATGTGCCGGACGGGCGAAACTCTCCGTAGTAAATGTTGTCGAAGATACTTCGCGAGTCGCTCACGTCTTACACCTATAGGTTCCGGTGGGTACTCTCACCGCCGTCTTTGTTGGTGCCGCTGAAATATTGTGGACTGTAGTTAAAATCAAAATGCACGATTAACAAATACAAATAGCAAGGTAGTGGCCAGCGGTTCGAATGATTGATTAGTCGCGAAATTTTATAACTATTTATCACGGTTGTTAAACTACGGTTGTTCACTGTATATTTCAAAAGATTTCTTTAAATTGTACGGTGGTATCAAATATCTATTGGTAGTAGCTGGTTTTCTAACACTACTGACTAGCAGCTATTATCAACTAAACTAGTTGATTTTATCACTTGTGTAACTGCGGATATCAGTTACCACTTTCACTATATGTAACTGCGAATATCAGTTACGACCTTTTTAGGCTAGCTAACACTTTCACTATTTGTAACTGCGAATATCAGTTACGACCTTTTTAGGCTAGGTAACACTTTCACTATGTAACTGCGAATATCAGTTACGACCTTTATAGGCTAGCTAACACTTTCACTATTCACTATATACTGCTACTAGTCACTTCAGCTACCACCGGATACCACTCACTTCACTTCACTGGTCACTGGTAGTTCTTCACACTACTACTGTTACTGGGCCCCGAGCCCCTAAGGTAGACTTTAGCAATACTTTATACTGAGCCGCTTGCCATTTTCCGTTTTGCCTCTTTATTGCATAAACATTTCACTATACAAATGGCATAAATTGCAATATTCTCTATACAAACTAATTGCTACACTAGCATGTTATACATCATTAAATCGGTAGTCTGGTACTTTATTAGTATATCATAAAGGTTCCTCAAAACATTAACATTGTAAAAAAGTTATTAAACGAAATGTCCCAAATTTTCATAATATTTGGGTATTTTAATTCTTTAATTTTTCTATAACTACGAAATGCGTTTAATTATAAAAAAATATTCCTATACTTCTTTAATCTATAAGCCATATGCTAATTAAATGTCATATTTATAACTCTTTTAGGACATAAAATTATTTTCATTATTTTTAGTATAATCTATTACGCAGTTAATTAAAAAAACTTCTAGAGAGTTCTACGATAAGACGCGCTGTGATTGGTCGATTTTTTGGTATATAATAAAAGTTGTTTATATTACTTGTTATCAAAACGACATTCTATACAAACATATTGAGAGTTATAAATATGCTAAATAACTATATTAATACACGTTTTTAGTCAGTTTTATCGGTAATTTCATTATTAATACAAAAAACAATATTCTTTATCACTTTGTTTCTTAAGGTTGTTAGGCCGTCGCGAACAGTTGCTTTAATGATATGGATGTGGAAAATGGATGGATATATATGGAAAAATGTGTCAAATTTCGCGGAGAATACTTCGAAAAGCAATAAATACATTTTTAAATAATAATGTTGTGTCACTTCCTTGATTCCCGAAATTTTCAGTGCCGCCCTCGTAGTAGTTGCTGGGAGCACTAAGCTCGAAGTTGTTGATGAGTATGTTTACATAAGACAAACAGTCTAGGTAAGTCAATTCGATCGAGAGAACAATGAACAGATTTAACTGGACTGGGCAGCGTTCAGAAGATTACGACACATCTTCTCGTCTGGTTTACCTCAAAATTAAGAAAAAAAAGATTGCACAACCAGTGCATGTTGCCAATGATGACTTATGGATCTGAGACGTGGTCCTTTACTTACTGGTTTCTCCTTGTGATAGATAAATGAGGATATCCGCAGTAGGACCTAAGAGTGTAACTAACATAGCCCAACGAATAAGCTCAAGTGGCAATGTAGCTCGACCGATGGGAGTGAAGGTTCTCGGTGTGGCAGCCTCGTACCGATAGGTGAAGTATAGGGCGGCCCCCCACTAGATGGAGTGACAATCTGGTTAAACATGCAGGAAGTCGATGGATGCAGGTGGTTGAGGACCGTGCTTTGTGGCGTTCCTTGGGGGAGGCCTGTGTTAAGCAGTGGACTTATGAGAGACTGTAAAGTAAAGACTGTGTAAAGACTGTAAACATGAAACGCACCCGTGTTATATGTTTCTAAAAAGCAAATTTATTTAAAAATGGAACCCCATTACCTCTCATCTGTGAGGAAATCAAAATGTAAACTGTCATGTCTGTGCTGGCTGAATTCAGCCACATCACAGACTTGGCTTATTTTTGGCCCTAAGTTTATAAAAACTATATCTCCAGTTCTGTTTTAAATTAAGGTTTTATTTTCTTTATTCATTACTCAGAGTTAGTTTCTGTTCCTATATCTTTAAAACATACAACTGCAATAATATAATAAATCTGTATTATATAATTATTATATATTTTTTATTATATTCATTTATATGTAAAAAATAAAATAAACAAATGTTTAATTATAATAAGCATTTAATTACATCAACAGTACATATTTTAACAGATCTATCACAAAAAACCAATGCTCTTCACACAAATTTTTCAGCAATACCATATTTATAACTTTCATTCAAAACCAACTAATCTGAGGGTATACAAAAGTGACCTCCACATTTAACGTTATTTAGACATTGCTAGTATTAATGTATACTATACAGCAAAGTTCATAGTGAACAAGATTGTGAATCTAATAGCACTGAGAAAGATTATAAACATACGAGTTTTGCCGCTAAAAACGACCGTTTAGTAATGACAGAATTCAGCCAACCCACAGACGAGAGGATAAGCCAATCGCTCTATATTAAAAAAAAAAACCAAACTTCTATTAATTTTCAGGAAGTCGAGGGATGCGCAGATCGTTGAGGACCGTGCTTTGTGGCATTCCTTGGGGGAGGCCTATGTTCTACTGTGGACTTGTGAAGGCCTGTAATGATGATGATGATGTGGGCCCATTTTTGGAATTGTCCATGGTCAGCACTTAAATTAAAATTGATAAAGATAAAGACGAACGTCAAAATGAAAATAGGAAGACATATTTTTTTGATGAAAAATATTAGTAATCTTATTAATTAACATTACTAATATTCCCTTTAACCACTCCTGGTAAGCTGAAAATGCTTGTGTTAGGAGTGGTTCACGACAGTAGTCGAATGGTGGATTCGAACCCGCGACCTTTTGATTTCGCGGGCCTCGCTCTGCCACTAGGCTACTGTCGCTTCAATATAACGCTACAATAGCTTTTATCTTTAAAAATAATTGTTGGTTTGTTACAGTTCTCCGTTCAAACGGCAGATGTCGCTGCGCATCAGCGAGCTACCGTCGAACCTGGAGCGGCAGCGCTTGGGGCTGGGCTCGCCGGCCGCGCCGCGCGCGCCCGCCCCGCCGCCCCCCGCGCCGCCCCCGCACAAACCCCACATACCCCTCGAGGTAAGAAGCTGTAATGTGCTGTTTTCTATAAGTAACGAGTGTTGTTATAACATGTTCTGTATAGATAATTTGGAAGCTTTAATTATAGATCACCGCTATTGATTGTTTTGTTTTTAGTAATCTAGAAAGCGTGGTCGTTAAAACGTGTGGTCAACGTAACCCAGTGTATACTGGTAGCAGACAACACCAGTATGTGGTGTTCGCACCGCCTGCCTCGTTGAATCAAACCAATCTTTCGAGGAAAATGCTTATCAGGCGATAGCAGAGTCGCTGACATCGGATGAGACAGTAGATAAAGTTCAGAGAGTAATGGAATAAAATTGTGCTTTTGAAACCAACATTATATAGACAAAATTAAAAACGCTGGCAGTACTTGCACTAGAAAAAAGTAAATTAAAGCAGGAATTGAAGGAAGGTAATATCAAATATAGTTCTTATGGACAAAATAGATTAAATGTTTAAAAACTGAGACACAAGTAACTAGTGAAAAAAAATGAAAATTATGATATTGGTACTGAATGCAAAAATCGACGATTAATATCTACAATACCAGAGTGTACTAAACTGGCTACTTTGTCCAACACAAGCAATAAGGACGTTCGCGCGCAGGCGATCGCGCTGTCCCCGCCTGCGGCAACCAGTTATGCGGTGGCGACCAGGAAAGCAATGGATACGGAAGTTAACGTTAGCGATAACGATGGTAATAATTAGATAGAAGTTAAAAATAAAAATAAAGGGAGGAGTAACCTTATACAAAGAGGAGGTAACAAATTAACTGCTTTTATGAAAGCACTTGAATGTAGGAAGTTTTTAAATGTTTGGGAGACCGGAAAAATGCAGTACAGAAGACGACAATCTACAGGAGTATATCAAACAAATACTGAGAAACTAGTCTGAAATCGATATCGGAAAACTAAAACCTAAAACTGAGCGAGAATACGCGACTTTCAATATTGGTGTTACGTTAAGTACATATGAGAAGGTTTATGACCACCAGAAATATGGCCAGTAACTGTACAATTTAGTGAATGGATTTGGTTTCGCCGCTCAACCAAATTCATCAAAGAATTTTTTTCATGGACAAAGGATTTTCGACTTTATTTTAATGAAATTAGAACTGACATTCATTTATTTCAACACAGGTAGACCAATACGTATCGCGCGACACCGCGGCAAGCTGCGGCACGTAACGGCATTCTATGGGACGCCGCGGCATGCTGTTGTATCACGTGAAACGCATAAGTTACTTCATGTTGTTAAAATAATGTAACTGCTTAGTAATTGAAGCATGGTGGAATGCAGCCAGTTGCGCTGGCAATCTCAACGACTCGCGCGAGCGCTCGGAATACCAGCGCGTCTTGACTTGTTTGACATGCCGCGGGATGCCACAGGATCCTTCGGCATACCGAAGTATGCCTTGCCATGCCGTGCCATACCCAGCCGTCTGTGAGCGCAGGCCATATATGTTAATGTTTAGCATATTAGAAAAATTGTGTCAAATATAAAACTAATTTAGTTATGTTTGGGACCTTTAATATTATTTACTCTTGTAATAACAATATTTCTAATTATTAAGAATATTTCATGGCCTTGTGTGAGTTAACTCAGTGTAACTCAGAGGTCGTGCTGTGCGCTTAGCGGCGGCATTCCGGTGAGTGCGGCGGACGAGTGCCGTCCACCGCTTGCCGTGCGCATCGAGCCCGGCGCGCGTGCGTCGCAGCCTCTCCATGCGACCTCTATTCGTCTCGCATCGCCGTGTATACGATACTTGTGCTCGCAACTCCCAATAACTCGGAAATTATGGAATTTTACCAAAGCCAACTTTAATCAATTGTCCAATTTATTTACAAGAATAGACTGGAATGAGATATACTAAATACACGACCCGGACGACGTTCTAAATTTATTTTATGATAAGATATATGAAATTTTTGACAAGTGTATTCCTCTAAACAATTATATAAACTAAGTAAATAGTAGATGTACTTATCCGGTGTGGTACATAGCTGAAACAATGAAAGATATTAAACTAGATAAAAAATATAAATCTAGTAAATCGCGCAATAACTATGAGGAGTTCTCACGATGTAGGGCGAGAGTTAAAGCCCGAGACTGAACGAGCGCATGACTAGCACCTCGATCGTGCTGGGACATTTGGCAAAGGATCCGCGAGGATTTTGGGGGTGCATAAGATGTAGGAACGGCGATTCGAATCTTCGGAGGTTAATTAATGACGGACGGGTGTTATAAAAACAAGAATGTGCCAATGAGTTAGCTCGGTTCTTTCAGTCAGTTTACAATCCGAAGCGCCTATGCTGAGCACCACGCTCACGGCGGCAAACGCGGGCGCGCAGGCGCACCTCGCGTGTTTGCGCCCTGCTTACGTGTAGTGTGCACTTGCGGTGCGCACTACACGTAACTACACCGCCGGGCGGGGCACAACTGGCAGCTTGCTGGACACAACAAGTATAGGCTGTCAACTTCGTGCAGTCCGCGCCCGCGGGGCTACAGGGGTTGGCAAGGACGAGGTAAAACGGCCTCAAAGGGGAAGCGAGCGGTATGCGGGAGGGCGAGCGAGCACGCCGCGTGCTCAAGAGCGCCAGTCGCCGGTGGTCGCTTGCAACGGTTACTTGTATACTAGACGCACACGAGATTACGATCCGAAGATGAGCAAACCGATTGGACGACAATCAAAAGAAATTGTGTATAACGTATACATGTATTTTAAAGAGCGTAAAAATGATAAATCATCGCAAGAATACCAGAACGATATTAATTTGGCAAAAACCGTGTCTGTAAATAGATATGGATTGCGACTATAATTAGTTTTCGTTGTAAATATGAGTGTAAATAAAAAACAGTATTAAATTACTTTCTTATTTAGAAAAAATATTATTACTATTATTCGGTGTTTAATCTTTTATTTTTCCAATTTTCGTTCTCCTTTCGTTCTACTTTCGGCGTGCATTACATTTTATACTTGTACTAGATTTTGCAAAGCTTCCTCATGAATCGCTCCGTCTATTGGAGAAAATCCGTTTAGTTGTTTTTGAGTTTATTATACGCGGCGGGGGACTTTTTTATAATATAAAGTGATTTAATATTATATCGAATTCATCACTACATCACACAATACTTCGTAATAAATCTAAATAAATCCATACTAATCTCAAGATAACTCGATCCCAAATCCCTACGTGTGTAGCCGTGGGCGTGGCCTCGTGCACGAGCCGCGTGCTTCCTCGTCCCTCTCCACCCTGTACCCCGTGGGCGCGGACTGCACGACGTTGACAGCCTATAGATGTTGCCTATTTTGATTTTAGAAAGGCCTTTGACATGGTAGACAATGACGTCCTTCTAGTGAAGTTAGCTAGCGTAGGCTGCACACCGCACATATTATCATTTTTCACACGTTATTTACGAGGCCGATGTCAGTATGTTGACTGCAGCGGAACGGCTTTCCGAACCCTACTTTACAAGATCAGGTGTCAGTCAGGGCAGTAATTTAGGACCTCTTCTCTTCATATTTACAATCAGCAATTTTTCGGATGCAGTTTATTTGCTTATGACCTAAAACTAGTTATTAAAATAAAGCAGAAGGCGGATCATGACATACTACAGCAGGATATATGACTAATGTTAGAGTGGGGTTTTGAAAATTAATCATATTTCAACTTGGCGAAATGTTCTATTCTATCGTTCAGCCGTGCACATAACCTGAGTTATCATCAATGTTACATGGATGGAAACTGTCTGCAGCGTGTTTCTAAAACATACAATTTCGAAAACACACTATTGATGTTTGTAAAAAAGCATACCGCAACTTAAGTATGGTCGGCCAGCAAACCGATTCATAAATATCGGTGCTCTGAGAGCATTATACGAGGCACTTGTAAAAAGGCATTTAGAATGCAATGTTGTCGTTTGGTCATCACATGAAGCTAAATATAAACTAATGTTAGAACTAATTTGTGAGAATTATGTATTTAAAACAATATGGTGTGTACCCGGGTTATTCACTGTTGTATCATATTCTGTTTATTAGGTAAGCTATTATAAATTAGAAATACGAAGGGAGTCGCTCTCGCCACTTACTGAAAGTGCTCCGCGGTAAAATACATAACCCAGGTATTCTACAGATAGTTAAGTTGTGTCCCTAACGAGTACGTAGGACGCCGGTCGGTGCCGCAAGCGCGCACCAACTTGCTACAGCACGTGCCTTTGACGCGCGCGCTTCGTGCACTTAACGTGGTCTCACAACTGACTGATTTGTTTAACTGTACTCTGAATCAATTCACAAAGGCCGCTTATTGTAAAATATCTTTAAGTTGTGCATAATACACCTATATTATGTTTGCTATAGTTTTTAAGTTTGTAACAACATACACCTGTGATGATAATTGTAAGTGGTAAATAAAAAAATATCATATATTTGTGTATTATGCTGGCAGTGAAAGAATATCCACTACTGTCCCATATCATCTTGTAAGAGACTACAGAAGGTAACTAAAATAGAAAATGTGCAGCAGACATTTCCTGGTAACAACTGAAGATAACCAATCCGCCTGACAAGCATGGCGGCCCTAACAAAATGCTCCCTCATAGGGGAAGCAATCATCTCATAGTAATCTATAAGTGAGGCTTACGGTCAGTCGACTGTCGGCATGCTGTAGTGAATGAAAAAAATAAATGCAGTTTGTGATGATATCCTAGACGGCCCCAACCATTACATCAGATTTGATAGACCACAAATCCTCGCGAAAGAACACCGATTCCTACCAAGGATGATACGTGAGGCTATTGAAATTAAAAAAAACATCCTAATTTCAATAGAGAAGGAGGCTGGGTACTACCACCTGCTTGGGACCCTATAATCAATAAAATTAAAACTAAACCCAAGCATACCACTGCAAGACCTCAGGACATAATCAGTTTATTTTGCATAGATCGGACCGTAAACATTTAAAAAAGCTGAAGGTACTCCGGGTTTAACAATGACATCGGGACGTCAGTCACCTCAGTCCCCCGTGACAATGGATGCTGGAAAGCGCCCGAAACGTCGGGAATTAAAAATAAAAATAACTAAAAGTAAAATTAAAAGCGATAAAATCCGTAAAAGTAGTTTTAATCAATGTACCAAATCAATGAAAAAAATTAGTTAAGTGTAATGGTTTGCAGGACAAGTTTGAGGAGGTATCGAGCAACGGTGTGGCGGACCCGGTGGCGGCGATGTGCCAGCAGCTGTCGCTGGAGCTGCGCGCGCTGGCCGAGGAACCGGTGGCGGCGCGCGGCCTGCCGCACCCCGACGCGTGGCTGGGCCGCGTGGCCGCCGCGCCGCCCGCCGCGCCCCCGCCGCCCCCCGCTGACCCCGCCCCACTACCGCTCGCCTCCACCAACCCCTTCCTCACGCCCGCACACATATAACTGCTCCGCTTCCCGCTCGCTACTTGCGAGCTCCTTTCTGCAAATGCTGCCGAGCTAACGGTGCCGCGTATATCCACGCAGTCTCGTCTAACGATTCATACGTCGTAACTGGGTGTTTGTTTTTGCAATTCTTCTATTGACTGATTACGAGTTCTGACAATGTTTAGAGGTCACTCAATTGATTCGTTACGTGTCGATGTTGTACAACGCAAGGAAATTCCTATCATATATATATGCCAAATCTTCAATACATGTTTTGAATGAACTTGCAACTCTTGTAATCGACAATGGATCGAACAACAGCACCTGCTCTATATTTTAATATTCAACAAAATAAAACGAATCCTGGGTATTTCTGGCAATGCCATTTAAATTTATAAAATTTTATTTGGTAGACATTTAATATTACAAATTACCATTTCATTAGAATCGACAGTAAAAAGAACTTTGACATTTCTCTTATAGTTGACTCTCAAGGTTAGATAAAAGAATAATTAATTGTTCATTGATCGACGATACCGTCCACGTCACTAAAATAGCGCATGACGTCAACGCAAACTGACAAACAAGGTCAAGTAGCAAGCATTTAGCTCCGTAACCTTTCTCTTTATCATTAATCGAAAAATCTTGAATCATTTATAGCAACATAAAAAAACTATTTACTGCCGCAAAAACTATTTGCGAGTAAGATGTGGTGGTCATATCGTTGCTTATGTAAAAACAATGCCATTAAACTATTGATTAGCGACATGTAGATAGAGATGGGAGAAAGAACTCTTAAATCAATTTTTTTTATATATTTGACAACATCGCAAAAGGCTTACGTGATAAGGATCGATCTCGATAATAGCATGCACCATTATTTTTAATTTTATTAAAAATTTTCTAAATGACAATTTACTAATTTTTGTAAATTTGGTTGTTTTTTCTTTTCTTAAAACTACATACATAACATTAAGTTCTTAAAAGTTTCTTGTTTCAATATTTTTCTGATCTAAATATTTTTTGTCTTTTTTCGAACAATTATCTTTGCGGTGAATTTCTACAGTGGTATTTATTATATGCCGAAGATGCCAATACTATTGAAGTTAACTAGAAAATATTTTTGCAGATGATCGTCGTATTATTCATGTTGAGACGAAAGATAAACTATTAAAATCGGTATTCCTATTAATAAAACTTAATCGAAACTATATTTACTTAAAAGAACGTTAAATGTTATTTTAGTACTTAGATAATGTACTTAATTCATTCATCATATATAATTGCACTGCTTTTGCGATGCACATAGTGTTTTGTGTATATGATACGTAAGTTAAGACTAATTCCATGTTATATTCGTCCACGGACAGTATTAAATAGGCCCGACCGCATTGTTTCCCACAGTGTGTTACATACAAACGAACAATGCAGTATTTTGATAAACGAACTAAGGATTGTAAAATAATACGCTTTTGGATATACATTTTTATTTTTTGTATATACTTGTATATTTGTAGGATATTTTTGACTTTACACTGTTTGTGAATCCGTTTTGTTTGTAATATTTTTTATTAGATTTGATTCATTTATAAGCAGGTATTTAGACATTGTAATAGTACAATTTTTTGAATCAGCAATACGAAATAAGCCATTGTCAAATTTCGTTCTTTGTATAATTTATATTATATTGTTTACCATTTTGTAAGCTCTTGAATAACAGTAGTAACAGAATATTTACGATATCATGAAGTATGCACTTGTGATTAACCGCTACGTGGTTAACTTCCTACTAACATTACACTATAATAGGGATTATTTATATTACACGAAACCATTTATGAATACTATCCACCATAATTAGTCAGTTGAAGGAAAATACAATAATATTTTTTGGTCGTTTTTATTGGTCATTATTAATTTATTCTGTTAATTCTTTTCTTACGTTATACGTTGTATTCGGACGCATAAACATCTGAAAATGAAGAGGCACAATAGTATTCGAAATAGTGGAGAACTTTTTGTTGTGGGAGAGAGAGGTGGTTGGTAACAGAAACAGAAAGTTTTTTATCAAATGTCAAACAATACTTAGGTATTGAAAGTCAATTTTTTCATTTACCACTGGTTCGCAAAAAAACCTCTGTCCTGGGAAGTACCAGCAAGAAACCCAGCGTGACTATTTTTTTTTTCAAATAATAGCTTACAATCATGTTTACAATTAACAACACAAGACAAATTAGAAATAGCTTGGTAGCGATCACCCTTCCCAGGAGTTATTATCATCCATAAATTCCTTAATATTATAATAACCCTTTTTATACAAACTTAGTTTAAATTTTGACTTTGCGTATGACAAATTTTGTATACTTTCTGGGATTTTGTTGTAAAAGCGTATACATCGCCCCAAGAATGAATTATATATTGCTCTAATGGCTCTCTTCATTGGTAGTGCCAAAAGTTCAAAACGTTCTAATTGAATGAAATGGCTTGATTAATAGAAAAGACAATATTGGTCTGGATTTTCTATTTAGACAATTTGAATTGGCTAAATAATTGGCTTTCTGTAAATTTTCCATTACAACTTCGGCGATTTTCATCTCTCAGTCAGCGTCTCTTCGAAATGGTTAATTTCAAGTGTACACTTGTCCTCAAATGTCGTACAATTAACCTTAAAAATTTGGATTTGTATCGGTACTGCACAATGATTGTTATATTTGTACATTCCAAATCATCAACACTACATACCTAAACGGTTATCTAGCTATTTATATTCGCGCTTGTACTTACACGACACGCAATAGTACTTAAATATTGTTCTTAATAAAAAACAAGTAAACATCTGTGTATATTTATGTAAAACTATTTTTTCTACTCGTTGAAATTACATTTTTAAAATGTTCATTGTATAATGTAAATGAAGCTTTTTTAAAGAAATATATCTATTTAAAATAATAAAAGCACACAAATATTTAAGCACTCGATGTGACATTTTCAAAGATTTTTGCCTTAACATGCAGTACATAAAATATTTAGAACCTAAGATATCTAATAAGTACTTAGTTTGAGAAATGTATTTACTCATTGTACTTTTCCCTATTTCAAAATTATATTATTAGACATGTTGTACTTAATATATGGGAGTCACGTTAAACGAAATTGATTGTTGGATGTTATTTTGTATATTCTACAATAATTTTATTTTTGTCTAAATTAAAGCGTGTAAATATCAGGGCAATTATTATGTAGATATTTTAGATAACAGAAGTTCAAATATTACCGAGAAAAATAAATATTATGTTTAGTTGAAATTTGCATTTTTATTGAACCATTTTTATTTCAATAATTATCTAATCTATACGTATTTTTCCGTATGCAGGCAGCGGTAAAAGTACTCGTAAACCTATTTCGTATTGTGAGTATAGTAAGAAGCGATCTTGTGCTGGGCTAGAAAGCCCTCCTAGCTTCCAATAGATGGTTTTACACTATGTCGTACTTTAAAAGCTACTGAGAGAAATAGAATTGATACACATATCCTAAAAAAGAATTTTTGAGAAATTAATTATTATCATTAAAAGATCAGTCACATCATACTTAACACTGACACTAGCTTGATACGTTTAGTCCGCCCGCGTTGGTTCGCTAGCTTCCACAGTTCTTTTTTTAACCTCCGACGAAAAAGGGGGGGCGTTATAAGTGTGACCGTTATGTGTGTGTGTGTCTGTCTATGGCACCGTAGATCTAAAACGGGTGATGGTGAACTGATTTGGGTGTGGTTGTTTTCATTTAAATTTAGGTTTTCTAGCGGTGGTTCTTAGACATGTTTTATCAAAATCGGTTCAGCCGTTCGAAGATCATCAGCAAATTTTTTTTCGGTTTTATTTTAATTTAATTTATTAGTAGTAGGAGTTTATAAAGTTTATGCAGCGAAGACTGAGGTATACTCTCGTTTCCAAATTGTTTCTGAATATTTTCAAGTAGTGCTTAGATAATAAACACATCCCTCTTTAATTTTAGTGTTTTGTATTTTTTACTGTTAGTGTTCATGTTAAATAATGACTTATGAATATGAAGTGTAATTCCCACACTCAATGATAGATGATATAATGTTGCTTTGATATTATAATTGATAAGATAAAGCGACTGTTTAAATGCGAATGCCTGTAATGCACTGTTCGACCATGCACGATAAAACGAACATATTTCACAATTGCTTCAAAATTTTGTTTAGTACTTTTACTTACATAGCAATATAATGCATTGTTATGTAAGTAAAAGTACTAAATTAACAAAATTGAAGCAATTGTGAGATGTGTTCGCTTTATCGTGCATGGCTGCTTCTTTCTCTAACGCTGCGTTATCTTTTTAAACTCACCAAACACACTCAACAGTTGGTTATAAGTCTAACAATTTTCTTACACCCTTTCGGTATTTTTATAAAATGTGTTTAATTCCTATAAATTAACGTAATTAAATCAATTCACGACTATTCGTATATATAAAAACTGTCAATAATATTTTTAATTTTTTTCCAAACAGTTTAAATAAGGTTATCAATAAACCTAGTTTTAAAATAAAAACAGCTTAAATAAAAGGTTATCAATATATTATGTACCTAGTATTAAAATAAAACCGAGTGGGTTCTCGGAGCAAAGGTTTTACTCTCCAGTTTAATTTAGGACTACCATTGAGTGTTGTTATGTAGTTTCCTAAATTATTAGTCAGTAATAATTACTTATCTTCACGCACAATCCCTAACGGGGTAGCCAGAGAGAACAGATCGCCAAGTGTCACGATCCTTACATACCTCTTTATTAGTCAGTAATAATTTCCTTTTTGTAAAAGTGTTATTAATTTTATATAAAATTTTTGGGAGCGTCACAGCCATGCGCATGCAATGTTAAAAAAAGACTGACTGACATAGAGTAAAATGAAAGAAATACAAATACTATGAGCCGCGTAGAACGTAGCTAATATAGAAAAGTTAACTTAATATTCAACGTTTTTATTCTCCTTGAATTCAAAATGAAAATCGAACCGGTTTGAATATAGAAGTCCGTCTGTAATCGCCAAGTTCAATTTAAACATTCCACCACTATTAAGTCTACTGCATAATTTTTTTAAATAATTTAATGGTTTATAGTAGGCACTCGCTTCAAGCTGGTCTTCTCACCTTACCATCCAAATTCAAGATAAAGGTCATAACTGTTTGCTTTCTTCGAGAATAATTCTAATATAACAGATGTAAGAAAAAATATAATTGCGGTGATCGTATGAAAATTTTAAACGTTATAATTATCTTAAAATGCAAGATATCTATTCCCGTATCTCTATAACGTTGAGATACTTGAACTTGATATAGAAATTTTATCTTAATAAAGATATTCAAAACTAAATAAATAAAATCCCATCCGTTGTTTAAACAATTTGTGTTGAATTAAGTATTAAATAAGGAATTGAAATACTTATAAGAATTGAGAAAAATGACACAACTAAATTTGCTGCTTTGTTTTATTTGACCATTTATACATGAATATATTAATCAACTGCATAAACTTCAGTGCCTACATACTACCTAAACAAGGTATATATTGTCTGTAAATTATTTTTCTATACAGTACAGTACAATTAAGGTGGCTATGGATTATCCACTTACACTATACAACACGTTGGTTAATTACTACGAGATAAAACATTTGAACAAAGCTGCTTCTGTAATACAAATTTAATATATGGAAACATTTAACCTTATCATTAACAATGTTCACTACTACAGAATCACACAAATATATAAAAATTAAATGCATTTATATTATTCAAAAACGGGCAAGATCTTTCCATAACAAAAGCTTAATTTATTGAAACGATATTAATACATTGTTTTGATAGTCATAATACATATTTTCATTTTAAAATAGGTAAGTATATTGTATGTATTTAGCATTGTAAGTAGTGCGATTTCATCAAAACAAATGTACACTCGAGTTAATTTTGAAAGTAAATAATAATGATCATATTCTTTACTTTTACATTTTCTGTGATTACTACGTTTTGTCGTACGTTTGTCAGCTAATAAACAAAAATAGATTTAATATGTAATTTAATAAATTATATAAAGCTTTTATGACCAAACTAACAGATTAGTGCGAGGAATTATTTTAAATAAGCAATATAAAACATTCAAGTACATGACTAGTATAAAGTTTACGGTTGTCCAAAATAACATTAACGAATTTGTTGTATTTGTACAAGGCATAAATTATACATAAAAATCACTTAAAATACAAAATATCACATCTATAGAAAAATGTCTTATTTCATAAATATATATAACTGGCGCACAATGTATTGCCATTATAAAATAAACAAAACAAAATATTTCAAATAATACAAAGTTATAAACAACTATCCTAAAATTTTGATGCTATGAGATCTATAATTATATAAAACACGGCATTATTATTCTTACAATATTAATACTGATTAAGATTAAACTATAAACTTAATTAATCAATATATTAGTTTATTTTCAGAAAAACCATTAGTTTGGTAAATATGTATATGAAAATCAGGTTAAAAATGTGAAAAATAAATCAAAACATCAAAACCGTAGCTACAATAAAAAAATTAGTGCTCGGTTTCGTTATACAAAAAAAAAATCGTAACTATGTATTTTATCCACCCTATCCCCATTACATTAGTTAAAAGCATCACATTTGATAATTGTATGACGACGGAGTAACATAATTATAACAGTTCTAACTTTACATTAAGAACCTCATTGCAGAATGAAAACACGAATAGTGCCAACCGACAAGTCGCACTCTTGTGAAACATCGACCGAACTCAAAATTTGGTCAAAACGAGTTACAGTCAAATACCGACCTGAAACAGCCCTTTTCCTTACAAATTAAGGTAAAAAATAAGATTTAAAGGTTTTTTTAAATTTTTCTCTAAAGTAATTTTAATTCATAAGACTTTTTTTTTTCTAGATAATGTTTCTAAAATGAGTCACAACTAGTAGTTAAATGGTTTGTGGAAAAGTGACTTATTATGACTTTAGTCACACTATTCTGTTTTGTTTAATAGAATAGTGACTTAATTAAAAAATGGTCAAAGTTTTATTACAAGTATTGAGTGAAACGTTATTGTCAGTTAGGTCAACAATACCTATTTATTAAATGTAAAACAATGGGTCAATTCTGATAGGTTATATTTAAATTCATTTTTTAAATTAATGATTAAAAAAATCTTAAAATACTGCTTTGAATCTGAAAGGCCATGTTTTTAAGAAAATGTTGGTGGTTATAGTTATTTCTTACGATTTTTAGTTGTGATTCTTACAAAAAGCTTTAAACTTCATTTGTTAAAATGAGTCACAACTTGTAGTTAGTATTAGTTAGTGATTTTGAATTCGGTCAGTATTTAATTATGAGTGCGAAGTGCTACCTTTTTATTGTGCAACAAAAGCGCGGGAACCTGACATTTAAGACACAAAAAGTTTGGGATATTTTATATTTTTACTTTTATAGTATTTTTATTTAATAAATGTCTTTCATACGTATTTACTAAGCGTCTTGCAATTTTTTAGCTAAATTTAAGATTTAACATACACAATTAGGTTAAAACATTGCATAAATATTTATCATTTTGTGTTAGCATTGTATATTTTAAAATTATAAAATCTAGTTTGATTACTACAAACGCCGTAACATATATACATTGATTTTATTATATTAACTGTAAAATATTCGATTCCTTACCTCAGTAGATTTTTACAAAAGTAATAACTTTGGTAATAATTTACATTAAAAGCATCAATTACCTATCAACTACTTTCAAAGTGTTTTTCTGCTACTTCGAAGGAGAAAGGGAAGCAAAAAATATATCTACTATCTACAGAGATTCATTTCAGTAGCAGTATCATATTCGGTGCCGGACTTAAAAGTAAAGTGGCCTGGGTTACGCAATTTAGGAAGTTTTAAAAATGGAGAGGGGTCCTAAGTGTTGTATTGCCCAGGGGCCTATACCCTATACCCTACTAAAGACATATAAAATATGGGCTATTTTGTAAAAAAAGGATGGATAAATAAATCCTTTGTAAAAATCTACTACTACAAGTGATACACGTTTCATTTTTTCATGTCGATTTTAGCAAATCAACATTGTAATGTATAAGTGCTATGACTTATAAAGAAATAGATATAACTTACAAAGAAAACACTGTTTTCCGTTACTATGAAAAGTAACTTGCCCTTGATTATCGAGCTGATGAAGGCTTAATACAACTTTAGATTTGTATAATATATACTATGTAAGTTTCTAGATCCGATTTTTTTTTTCAACTTTAATAAATCTTTTCACGGTCACGACTGGGTGTGTCATAGGTTTTTAATTAAAAGTTTATTTTTTACAGCGCTTATTTACTACCTGCCGATCATATTACCAATTTTTTTTTCAATTCTTATGTTCATAAATTAAAATGTGTATGTAACTTGTAAGACAAATATTTAGGCATCAGGAGACTTATTTTTATTGTTAAAGTACTTTTCAACGAGACAACGTGACGTGCCGCTATTTTGTGTGCGCCTCTATTTACTGCACAGAAGGTATACTTTTCCGAGATATTTGCCGAGTGCACGAAGCTCTTTAGTGCAACGTTAGGTAATACGATACTTATATATGCGTCTATCTACAACTGTTGAGGACAGGGCTCATTTTATTTCAGAGAAGGCACTAACGTCGCGCAAATGTTTCGTACTGTTTTCGTCCACTGACATTCGACCGTTATCAATGGCTCGATTAGATCTCCTCGAGCATCCGCGCGCCGCGCCGCGCCTGTGAGGTTTGTTCAGTACACTCGTATTCTATGTATACTACAAGACGGGCTCTGCGACCTAAATACATGGCACACTTAGTTACGATCAATTCTCTGAGACCTTTCTTTGTTTTGTATTTAACAGTGATTTTAACTGAGACTAAGAAGGCTCTGTTATTAATTATGTGCGCACTTTATCAATGTGATTTGAAGTATTTTTAGACGAGCATGTAATTTTACTTAGTATTTGCCAAAAAGCAGTAACTGCAAAAACTATAACTGCATTGCACATTTAGTGCACAAGCTGCCCGCACGATACCGACAGCTGTGACACAGTTTTCGTTTTGAACTGCCGGTCTAGTTGTATACATACAAGTGTGTGTCTCGACAATGATTGATAAATTGTGTTTTATGACATAGAGATGCGCGTCAGAAGTGGTGCGTGGCACGTAGCGGCTGGTGGCGGTGGCGACGGCGGCGGCTAGTCGCGGCGCGCGTGTATGTTGTCGTGGCAGCGCTGGCACACGCGCACGGGGCGCAGCGCGCGCAGGCGGCGCACGGGTGCCTCGTAGCGCGAGCAGCGCCCGCAGAACACGGCGCCGCACTCGCGGCAGTGGTGCCGCCGCTCCAGCGCCGTGAACCGCACCTGCCACGCGCGTCCACGCACACCCTTATTACCCTTACCGCTGAACATACGCCTCTCTTTTTTTTATAAATCTAATAGATTTTCCGGACCGATACGACCTGGGGACCTTCAAGAAAAGAGCGTACTCCTTTCTAAAGGGCCGGCAACGCACCTGCAATTCCCCTGGTGTTGCGGTTGATCATGGGCGGCGGTAGTCACTTAACATCAGGTGAGCCGCATGCTCGTTTGCCCCCTCTTCTATAAAAAAAAAGATTGCATCGTATGGGGAATATTTGCTATCACTTATTTCCACGCTTGGCAAGCGAGCTAGCAACTACATATTTTATTTCATTTTCCTCTATCGCCTTTTACGAAAACTTTTACATCACCGCTGTGCGGTCACATTATTAACGCCCATCAATAACTAATGCGAAAGCGCTGCTTGTTTTTCATGATACAAATCTTTATTTTATTTAAATTAGGAAGTGTTAATTCCAAGCGTGCTTTTAAAATTATATTTAATATAAATACCATTTACTATTAAAATGTATTAAATTATAACTAATATTAACTAAACCGAAAATTCAAAAATTTTAATAACATTCAAACAACACAAGCAACAATATAAAAACTATATTTAATAAAAACCTTTAGAGAATATTCTGAATTCCGACGTAGGAGATTTAACCACTTTTTTTAGTTTTTACTTTCATTCATATACAGTGTATGAATGGAGCGCTATAAAATTTATAAATCATTTTAACGATAATTTTTGGACTATTTACTTTTTAATTAATGTAGATAAAGGTAATTATGAATTTGAGTTATTTTATAATTGTTTTATCGTTTTAATGGATTTCTAGAAACGAAGTGTAAACAGATGTTCAGTTTCTCAACTCACCCACTAAAGCCATATAAAATTACTTCATACTATAAATGGGCAACAATCAACAGAATACTACGCCATTATGGAAAACGGTAAAAATCTTACTAGTACAAGTTCCAATTTGTTTTACTCACCTGACACTGCGTGCAAAATGGCGCGGTGTCGTCGCGTATCCAATGGTCAGCTGGACCGCCTTTGGCGCCCGACGCAGTCGACATATCAGGTGCCGACCAACGGAAAATCTAGCAGAATTAATTATTTTATGTTTTAGTTAACCTTATCACTTGCAAAAGAACTGAAATAACAACTGAAGTTATTTTTCTGATTTCTTGACTATAAACCCAACCAATGAAATTTAAGTTCAAATATATAAATAATGTAGTGAAAACATTTACTTGAAAAATAAACTATGTGGAAGTTCGGATATTAAGATAAATAACGAAGATGTAACCGATACGTTGTGACACCAATTTTCGACAACTTTCAGCTGTAGCGGCGAACAAATATTTCGTGACACGCCTGTCGTGTCAAGCGCCATAGAAGTTGATGACACGCCTATTGTGTCATTAGTTTTGCATTTTTTATGCAGAGATTACAAACCTTTCGTACATTTTTTGCTTATTACAAAATATACTTACTACTTATATAAATGATATAAGTAGCAGTGGCGAAGCTAGGGCTACAAACTGGGACAAGCCCAAGATATATTTTTTTAGCAGTTTTAAAAATACATCTATCTTGATCTGCCACCACTCTTCAGTTTTATAATCAGTTCTGTCGAGGACGTGTTTAACAAAGTACACTGAAGGCATACTACTGCTAGATAGATTGTATGACATATCAACAATTGCATACCTTCGGTGGCTTTGAAAAAAGCCGTTTGGGTTTGCTTGAGCGAAAAAAAAAGATGTTTACATACAATAGAATACATGAACAAAAGAAAAGCATGAACAAAGTACAAAAATTAAAAAACAAATTATTTATATTCTAAATCGAATCGTCTCTCTTTCTTAAGGAAAGATTTAATTACGTCCACGTAAAATGTTGGTGAACATTTTAATTGTACCAATAACTGTTTTTCAATCGCGATAATTGATAAGTCTGAAAGACGCTCTTGACCTTGTGTATTTCTCAAATAACTATGGATGCGCTTCAGAGATGAGAAAGCACGTTCCGCGGAGGAACTTGTGGCTGGAATAGTTACGACAAGATAAGCTAACTTTAAAAGTTGGGGAAAGGCCTCTTCAAGACTATTTTCGTTTATAAAGTCAATGAGTTCGAAAACATTGCGGTCTTTTAATTCAGGAGAGGAATACAATGAAATCAATTGGTTTTTCAATGTTTGTTTATCAAAATTGTTTATGTAATTTTCAAATAATGAATGTAATGCCTCTAAAGGAGAATCTGAACGATATTTTTCGAATAGTTTGTTGTTGAACAATTGGAAAAATTTTAATTTGAAAATTTCAGAATATCGGCCATGAATTTCTGAAGATATGTTATCAATTATTTCAACAAAAAGTCGTTTATATTCTGTCTAAGCACAGCGCACATTGCGTCTCAAACGGGGAGCACAGCGCACATTGCGTCTCAAGCGAGGAGCAGAGGTATTTTGTAATGTGTTTTCATAAATGTGATCAAAATCTGACTAAAATTCAGTACGTAATCATGTCTGAAACTCCTTTATTTTATGACTGCAATAACCGACATCAACTTGTGATTTTTGTAGAATATTGTACAAGCAGTCGGTTTTTTTCAAATACCCGTTGGAAAATTGAAAGAAAAAAATTGAAATTAAATGAACACAATGTGTTTTCAAAATTCTCGGCGGCCAAGATCGTATCGCCGTCCCAGTTCTGCGGATTGTCGCACATATCCGAAAACAAATTAATTAGATTATCTTTTTGTTCGAATACTGTATCGTGACGTATACGTCCAACGAGTTGCGGGGGCATTAGGCAATTTTTTTGCTGCAATGTGCATCATAATAAGACGACCGTTTTGTGCTGTTATTAAAAAAATTAAATAAAGCCTGAAGGGCTGAAAAAAGTGCTGACTTCCCCAATCTGTTACAAGATTTAAATAAAATTAATGCCAAAATGTGTGCATTACACCAAATATACATGGCTTGGGGACAAATAACTTTAACTTTTTGTTGCACTCCATTTCTGACACCGGACATGACACTTGCGCCGTCATAGCTTTGCGCAACTAGTTTTGTGGTGCAGTCATGTTTGTTTAATAATTTCAATATGATATTACAAAGTGTGTCTGCTGTGCAACTTTCAGACACATCTACATACCCCAAAAAACGGTCATGAATATCATTTCCATAATAATATCGGAGAATCAGACACAATTGCTCTCTGTGACTAACATCGGGAGTTTCGTCAATAATAATTGAAACGAATTTTGACAATTTTACTTCGTACTCGATGTGAGTTTTCATTACATCAGCGACTACGTACTAGATACATAACTCGGCCGTTTGTCGCTTTGTTGATATTGTATATGCTTTTCTAACACGAGATCGTACTTCGAAAGAAGCGATACAAGTTCTAAAAAATTGCCTCTATTTAATGAAGTTTTCGACTCATCGTGACCTCTGAAAGGAAGTTCTTGTTGTGCTAAATGGCAAACAATATCGACTAATCTTTGAAAAACACTACGGTTGTGATCAACACGCATGTTGTGTTTTATAATGTCCTCTGATAACTGGCGCGACAAAGATGTTTCAATTCGATTTTTTCCAAAATTACTAAACGAAATTACCGCATTCATGTGTTTTTGAGAATTCATATGCCTTTTAATGGCTCCAGATAAGTTATTTAAATCGTCATATCCAGTAGTATTCCAAGCCGTTTTGTCGTTGGAAAAGAATATACAACACCAACAGTACAATTTATTGGTATGTGAGCAGCCAACAATCCAATGAGTTTTGTAAACAGATCTATTAAATTGCCGTTTATGGGTTTTACTCGTCTGAGAAATACACAGATCAGGCGTTGGTTTCGGCGAGGATATGAGCTGTTTTTTCTCAACAAAGTTTAAAAATTTTACCTTTTCCTCGCCGATTAGCACTTTAACACACTTCAATTCATCACAAGGAACAGTCTTTCCCTCCATTTTCACTAAAAATCTTTAAAAAAGCATAAATTTTAAGCTCGCAATACATTCGCTCAAGCTCAACACACAATGCACAAAGTAGAAGTACTTTTTGACACAATGTAAACACTAAACATTGAAATGTGACACGAACTTGCTAACATATCGTCGGCTCGTCGCGTCGGCCGCGCGCCTCCCCTCTCGACTAACTTCATACCTAACGTGTTCATACGTCCCACTTTAGGCGGGACGTTCCCGATTTAAATGTTTGTGTCGCGCTATCCCCAAAATACTTAAAAATGTCCCGCTTTGACAAACAAAAGCATGACAATCACGCAAACCCGTGCCATCATTATGACACCGCGAGTACCAGGTTTGCATAGCTTGTCTAGTTACGTGATTATTATGAAAAGCTACACTTTTGAATTTAAAGTTACAAAGTGACAATTCTTAATTAATCTACAATAAATTATCAAATAACATAAGATATTTCCAATTAGTATTTATTTGATATTTAGAATTCACTGTTGATCATTAAAAGACTCAAACAACTATGTGTTTTATTTATAAAACTATATTAAAGGGTTCCAGATTGTTTTTTAATAATGGCGTAAGTATAATATAAACATATACAATAAGTGTAATACTACTGCTACTGAGACCTCGGGTTTCGAATTTGGGACCACATGATCAGCAATTGCGTTTACTGCCATTAGACCAAGAAGGCAGTCAAAAGTGTTAGAACTATAATAATTTTAAAGGCGTCCCGCTCTGAGGAAAAAATTAATGGTCACTAAAAAGCCGGGCTTTTTAGCTCCATACTAATTGCTATTTATACAATCGTAGTTATATTTCATTATAGAACATTTTGCCACAGGTTAGAAAGGGAGCGATCGCCTTCTCGAAAGCCCGGAAAAAAGCCCACGCGTGCGAGGAAGAAAACCAATCGCTCAATTCAACTCTCCTTATATGTATGACAGCAGTATTCGTAAGGCTACGAGGTCGCACAGAGTGCGCGGGAAATTTGAAATAGTTTGAAACAGTTTACGAGTTATTTTATTACTCGTAATTATATATATATAACATGTAACATAATTAACGCACTTTGAGAAAGTAGTTTGTTCAGAATCGTTTACTGAATCGATTTCTATCATTTTTAATATAGGTAATTTTTTATCCCAAAATTAATTGAAAATACGTAATTTACAGTCACACTAAACCTGTACAGTCAAAACAAACTGAAATAAACCATAACTCAAGGCAATAAGACTTTTAAAAGTGCAGTTTTATTTGTATTAATACAAATTCGTCATTCAATACAAAATAAAGAAAAATGAACCTTATTTCCTGGGAACCTGGGATAGAGCGAGATAGCACGTTACCGGCGCGGGTGCTCCGCGCTAGCCGTCAACGATGAAGGCTAACTTAAATGAAAAGAATATTAATTATAATTAGTAACGCGCGGACATTATGAGTAGAAAGTGCTCACGAGAATTTTTGCAAATAATTTTTCGTGCGCGATGTCTTTCCAATACAGCAACGTTCAGTACACCGAAATGGTAAGGACTTTGGCACAGTGTGGTGATAATGTGGCTCTAGCTTGCAGAACATTCAACCAAAGGTATGGTACAAGAATAGACCGCAGGACTATGTTAGCTGCTACTCAACGGCTTCACGACCACGGAACGTTCCGTCCGAACACGGCCATCGACAGGGGAGCCAATGTGCGTAGACGTAATCTTCAGAACGAAATACTGGACTATTTCGATGAGAATCCCCATGCCAGTACTCGAGAAGCAGCCGGACGCTTTCAATGTAGTCATATGCATGTGTGGAGAACACTTCGTGGTGATAAAGAACATCCATTCCACCTCAGAAAATGCCAGGAGTTGACTCCAAACGATTACGCACCACGCTTGCAGTTCAGCCGTTGGTTATTAGAAAATTGGCAGCGGAACATAATTTGTTTTTAGTCAAATCTCGATTTTTCCTTACAATTATTTCACCCTAGACATATACAAAATTCCAGTTAACATATCGTAGCGGCAGCGATTCGCGCGGGATTTCGCGCGCAGCTCAGCGGTCAAGGCCATCAGCCTCAGTCCATAGCGTCACTGTTTCAGTGTGTCAGTCGGTCGCTGCCTCGGTAGCGAATGCACGTGTAAATTTGATTTACAACCGCGCCGCGCGCCGTGCCGACATTCAACGCCGCTTATTTGTGTTTTAGGTACCTAGTTGTAGTTTTTGTGCGAGTGTGTTTTAGTTTGTAATTATGTCCTACACAAATGTGCAGTGGACCGAAATGGTCCGACTTTATGCCGTAGCTGGTGACAAATTGAACGAGGCTCGACGAATGTACGCAGAATTATTCCCTGGACAACTTGTGCCAAATCGTGAAACTTTGTTGGCGGCCACGCAAAGGTTACGTAGCTACGGACAGTTTACCGTGCCGGTTCATTCTCAGGAGCGTGGCAACCAGCAGCTGCGAGTTACCCTTCAAGAACGTATCTTGGATTCCTTCGCGGAGAACCCAGAGGAGAGTACCAGGCGGGCGGCCTGTATTTTCGGTGTTTCATTGATCGTCAATATCCGTATCATTTTCAGCCGGTTTAAGATTTAAATGAAAACGACCACATACAGCGGCTGGTATTTTCGCAATGGCTAATTCAAAACTTTGATAACGTTTCTACTTTATTTACGGACGAAGCAGTGTTTACAAGGTCGGGCATTTACAATGTTCGTAATGAACATTACTGGAGTCGGGTAAACGAACACCGAATACTTCAAAACAGTTATCAGCACCGTTTTTCCGTAAACGTGTGGGCGGGAACTCTAGACGGCAAACTTCTTTGACCCGATTTTATTGACGGCCATTTGAATGCACAGTCGTACATGGCTATTTTACGACATGTATTCGACAGGATGTTGGAAAATGTGCCTCTTCGTTCACTGAGAAACCTCTACTACCAACATGACGGTGCCCCTGCACATTTTCAGCTGCAAATCAGGGCTATTCTGGATGACGAGTTTCCTGGGCGATGGATAGGACGTGGAGGGTCAGTGGCGTGGCCAGCGCGTTCGCCTGACCTTACCCCGCTCGACTTTTATCTTTGGTGAGAAGTGAAGCGCCGAGTGTATGCAACTAAGTTCCGTAATACGTCGGAACTCAAAAGGCGAATTCTTAGTGTGTTAAGAGACTTAAGAAATGACACTGTTGTGTTTCTCAGAGTGCGAAACAATCTACGGAACGTGCGGAGGCACGCATGGCAAATGGATCCCATTTTGAACAGCTTTTACGATAAATGTAAAAGCTGATCAAAATGGGATTCATTTACGAGGATTTTATTTAATAGGTAAGTGTAAATAATCAATCAATCAGGCTACACATCAAGCTATACAAAACCAGTTTGTCTTCTTCGCTTGTATGATCTTTCCGTACAATGAACGGTCAGCTTATGCTTCAAATGCCCTTTGCGTTCCAGGGCCGCGATATCCTGCTAAGACAGTCCCGGGACCCCGGGTCCTTGATTGGACGGCGAGCTACCCATTGGTTTTTATTACATTCTCAAAATATCCGGAAACGAAGACGTAGGCATGAAATACTTGCAAAATAATGATTGTTTTATTCTGGATAAATATTCCAAAAACGCAATTTGAGCGTGTTATAACGATTTTTAAAATGACACGACTCGCGTGTCATACGCCATACAGAAAATTAATCGATGGTAGTAGTACCATCGGCGTAGGCCTGGCGTGCCATCCGCACTGAACCGGTTAATCGTAAGTAATGATGGAAGTCGTTTGATAAGGTCAATGAATCATAGAGCAGGCATTGAGGCTTGCCTAGCTTTGATAAGTAGGTACAGGAATTAATGGATTTTGGACAGAATTGTGGCGTGTGATGAATTGATTTTCTACGATTATCGCAAGCGAAATGGCGAAGTGGCTGAATTTAGATAGTAATCGGAACAGTTCGTTAGTGAAATCATCATGGTGTAATTTACTACAGTTTTATGAAATTCGGTGTATCAATAACTTGAGAACTTTGAACAATTATGGCGAAACTATTAGAGAAACAAGCCCGATTCAATATATCAGTCAATTAATCTTCGTTATAACTCCAAGTCATTTAAAGACCTATCAGTTATAAACAATGCAGCGTGATCCGTATTCGCCAGACCTAGTCTTAAACGATTACGATTTTTTAATGTAATTTGGAAAATTTCGCTGTTGTTCATGGCCTCATTTGTTTCCCTCTGTAGTCTCTTACGACACTCACGGGATGATATGAGGGTAGTAGATATTCTTACATCGTGCCTACACAGTTGACGTGTGCGTCGTTTGTGCGTGTGTGCGCGCGTACGTGTATGTGTGTTATGCGTGGTGAGCGCTCACCCTCCCGCGCGCGTCGCCGACGGCCAGGCCGCGACCGGTGCGCGCGGCGGCCACGGCGGTGACGGCGGCGGGGCACGCGTTGTCGCGCCGCTCGTACGCCGTGTGCATGGTCAGCTTGCCGCGCAGCACCAGCCGCCGCACCCACCGCATGCAACGCTCTGCAATAACACGCAACTACCATTTTAAACAAACCAACTATCCAAAGTAAAAAAGTAAAGTTACAGCCTATATACGTCCCTCTGCTGGGCACAGGCCTGCCCTCATTTCTGAGAGGGTTTTTAGGGCAAGGAAGTGTCAGCCGCGCTGCCCCAATGCGTGTTGGCGAACTTCACATGCCTTCGAAATATTTTTTCCCTTATTCCTCAGACATGCAGGTTTCCTCACGATGTTTACCTTCACCGCCGGGCACGTGGTAAATCAGCACTTAAAATTGCAGCTAACAATTTCATTGGTGCCAGCGGGGACCGAAACCGGGTTACTCGCGTTCTGTTATATTTACAGCGAGCGTTAACCATCTGAGCTACCACGGCTCATATGGTTAATCAACTATCTAATAATAATAAGATCTTAATAAAATAACACCGTGTAGTGGCGGTTAAGAATATCCACTACACCATATCTTCCCGTGGGTGTCGTAAAAGGCGACAAAGAGAAACATGCAGAAGATGCGCAGCAACGTCTTCCTGATAACAGCAACACACAAAAACTCCACCGTCGCCATTCGTGGCAAATATAGCAATATACCTTCCATGAACAACAACACAAATAGACGGCCCCCAGTTCCCGGCGGCCCTACTATTCCTGGCTACGGTGGCGATCATAGTAACGGCGGGGCAGGGGGTGCTAAATCCGGTGTTATCTCCGGTGGAGGTTCGGTTGCCACATAAAAGGACTCGACCTGGCAACATAGAACGCACGAACCCTGAGGACTGACAAGAAGATCCTGGAGCTGGAAGAAGAGATAAACAAGTTGCGCTGAAATATTATGGGATTATCCAAGGTCCGAAAAGAGGGGGAGGACATGGTGATTCTCGAATCCGGCAACTTGTTCTATCACTGGGCGAGCGACCATCTGTCCCAAAGAGGTGTTGGATTTATTGTCCACAAGTATCTCGTTAACAACTTTGTAAGGATTGGAGTGTGTCGACGAGGGTTGCGTACCTTATACTCAGAATCAAAAAACGGTGTTCGCTGAAGGTCATATCAGGTCTACGCACCAACATCGGCACATTCCGATGAGGAAGTGGAGGAAATGTATGAGGATATTTCTAGATCCATGCATTTCTCCAACACCCACTATACGGTGTTAACGGGAGACTTCAATGCAAAGCTAGGCACATGAAAGAACGGTGAGCTGAAGGTAAGGAAATTTGGGTGTTTTGTCGACAAATGGTTGCAAAAATAGAACAAGATCCACAATTCTTCAACAAAATTATGTGGAGCGATGAATCCACTCTTAAAAAAGACGGATACTTTAACATGCATAATCTGCACCGCGGGCAACTCTCAAATCCGCATATAATGCGAGAAGAAAGATTACAATACCAGTTAAAAATAAATCTTTGGACTGGTATACTAAACGGTAAAATCATTGGTCCATTTGAACTGCCCGGAAACTTATCTGGACAAGGTTATTTGTCTTTTCTACAAAATGAACTGCCAAATTTAATGGAAGAGGTGCCTGAGGAGGCGAGCCAATTGCACTGGCTACAAAATGATGGTTGTCCTGCACATTATGCTGCAAACGTCCGTGTGTATTTAAATGCTACGTATCCAAATAAATGGAGTGGTCGTTTAAGTCCCATTTTGTGGCCTCCGTGATCCCCGGACATAAATCCATTAGATTTTTTTTATTAGAACTGTCTAAAAGAACTGGTGTACTTCAAGCCTATTTCAAGTTTGGAGGAATTGCGCAGTCGTGTGCAGGAGTCCGCTTCAAAAATAACTGAACGGAGCTACACACGACTTATTAGAAGAGCTTTTATTAGAAAATGTCGAGCCCAAGCTCAGATCAGAGTCGTTGGCAGATAATTCGAACACCTGTTCTGAATTAAAGATTGATTTATGTACAACTTAACGTTTTTATTATGACAATTTAAGACAAGATTATTTTTTTCTTTCTTCAGTCGAATTTATTCTTTTTGCATCTTACCGTTAAACAAAATTATGTATTATAAACTGTATTAACTGCGCATATTTTTGAAATAGTTAGCCACTTAGGTCTTCATACTGTTTTTTTAAGAATGGCTCTCAAACTTTTGTGTTTTTTTTTGCAAAAAGTACAATAAATACTCATACTCTTTATTTTTTTATTTAATATTCTTTATTGCACACCATATAAAAATTACTAATTATATATACAAAAGAAGTATGCAATGGGTGGTCTTATTGCTGATAGCAATTTCTTCCAGACAATCTCTTTAGTGCATTTGTAATAGAAGTCTGTGACTACAGTAAGGTCAATAAAATCATAGTTTTTTTTACTTATATTTTTCGCACCACTTGTAATATTTTTTTTGCATTTTTATTTGACTGCCTGATACCTGTACTATTAGGCGCTCCAGGATTATCCAATCTTTCTTGGGCACCTGATATATAAATTACTATTATTATAATGAAACAGCATTATTGCGTGGACGAGGTACGAACCTGAGCCGTCGGTGGGTGGTGTGTGTGCGGGCGGTGCAGGCGCGGGTGCGGGTGGCGGCGCGGGCTCGGCGGGCGCGGCCAGCAGCACGAAGGAGTCGCTGATGCTGGTGTCGGACTTGCTGGTGCGCAGCGCCTCGCCCGCGCCGGCTGCACCACCCACCTCCGCGCCGCCGCACGCCGCCACCGACCCCGACTCGCTCGGCTCACCGATACTGCCGCCGCCTGCACAGTGCGCACCCACAACAAATCACAACATTAAATATGGTTTACTCATCACCCACCTATTAATACTAATAAATAATAATCGAAAATAACTGTGCTTGGCTCTATTGGTCCTGGTCATCATCACAGGATATTTTTGCGAATAAGCCTAATATTATAGTACTGGACCAGGCACAGTCATAAAAATTATACATCTTGGTCGAACAGACTGGATATCCTCATATCATTAATAATAATATTTACTTCAAACTTTTCAACGACTCGCGGACGATGGTAAGTAAAACATTAGTGCATATCTCTATAAACATTAGTTGTATGTGGTAAATTTGATATATGTTCAGCGCCAACACCATCCTCAAGTTATTACACTGAACACAAAGAATATTGAGTAGTCATCTATCCGAAATTGAAACTTTTTGTATAAAAAGTACGCACGTACGCACGCACTACACGCACTCATCACGCACACAAACAGGCGCGCGCGCGCGCGCTCGCGACCGCACGCACTCAATTTAATCTTTACGTATGCGCAATTTTATATGTATCTAAAATTGTTATGGAAGAGCGGGGTCCCCTAACACAGGTATTGATATACCTAAAAGGAGACCCCCCAGCCTAGTTAATGTATTTAAATTTAAGATACTGAATAAAGAATTTTGAATTTGAATTTGAAAAAGTGTCATCATCATCATTAAAGCCTATCAAAAATTCTCAGCAGAAGCTTGTCACATAGAGGAATATTTGCCATAGCTGACACGCTAGGCAAGCAGGTTGGCAATCGAAGTTTTTTTTTTTACTATTATTAAGTTGTCATCATGAAGATGCAGACAGTAATTCAATTACAAAATCCCAGAAAACCGGCTGATGCAATTAATGATTTGATGATGATTACTGCTAGTAACATAATAGTACACTAACATACTTTTTCGGTATAGTGGATTCGCCTTTGATTTCCGTCTCAATACTATGTTGTCTTGCTTCTGTAACTTGCTGCGGTGAGTAAGACTTTCTTTCTCTTCATCTATTTCCTTATCATTATCATAGTCTTCTTTGGTTTCTTCGCAAGAATCGACGTCTGGCTTTTGTTCGGGATAGTTTTGAGGCTCTTCATTATCGCTACAAGTATCCTTTTCTTCATGTCTTCGAGCCGATTCTTTGGCACTGGTAGTTTCACATGCGTCCGAAAGTGAGCTTTCGGACCCTGACTTTGTGAGATTACCTGTAATAATTTTACTATTATAATAAATGGTAATCATTAAGATTATCAACTTTAAAACAAAATATAATAAAGAAAAACTTAGATATCTATCGGGTTTATGTAAATTCATATATTTTAAAATATCTCTATCTTTTGGACTAATAACAAGAATTAATAGTTAAATTTAAATCTGAGAGGAATTATTGACAGTAAAATAGATGTATTATCAAAATTGAATTGATTGAATTACCTTCGTTCTCTTGTGAAAGACTTATCTGCTTAACTAACTCCTCCACTCGTTTAATAGCAGCCTCCCTTTCATTTGATTCAATGTCATTAGTTTTAGCTTCGCCATCAGATTTTACTTCAATTTCTGTTGTAATCGCATCACTGTCCAGACCGCTCAGTTTTTGCGCATCTTTCTTTATCTCATTATCTATTGAATTAGTGTTTGGATCAACACTGACTTCTGCGCTTTGACTTTCTTCGTCGTCAACTGTTTCAGCCACATAGTCAATTGACCACATCTATTGGATTAAAAATAAAGCTATAATTATAATAAAAAAATATTTGATCTAAATTTTGTTAAATAATATTCTACTACAAAAAGTACTAGCAGAAGATAGTATGTAGTAGTAGAAGATAGATAAAGCTTCTGTGGTGGTTGCTATTATATTTTCCCAATTGTAGGAATTTAAATTGGCGGTTGTGGTACCAGATGTTTACAATGGGTGACGCTCCTCGTCCCTTATGCGTATTTTACATTTTGGCATATATGAGATAATATATTGTCAAAAGACACTTCAGAAATATTATAGTTGTAGCACGAATGAGTCGGTTCCACCAAGGAAAGTTCACACTTTCACAGAATACTAGCATAAAATAGCAGCTTAATGCTGCTGTGTTTCATATTACAGTAAGTGTAGAGAATCTGAGATCCTTTTTACAGGGAATGAGGCAAAAAATTAATCTTCAGGGGTGACAAGACATCTGCTTTTTATTCTTAATCCAGGATGGATATAGAATACAGATGTATATGGACTAGAGCGCCCACTTACCATGAGGTCGGTTGTGAGTTCTTTTATCATTCCAATTTTATATATGTATAATAAAATTGTAATAACCTTTTAGAATGAAGTGATTACTAACAAGTTATTTTTAAGCAATGTATAAAATTTAATTTTACGCGGGAATTATTTTGAGAAAGATTCCTTCAGCTGTTTTGGCAGGTTCTTTCCACCACGGACTAACCACGGACATAGAAAGCGCGAAATTTAAAAAGAATGGTCTGCAAAGTGAGATGACTGCACCCTAACGACGCCGTCGCTGGAGCCGGTGACGATGACGTTGAGCGGGTCCCACTCGCGCGCCTGGCTGAAGGCCACGCACAGCAGCTGGTGCGCGCGCTCGCGGCCGTTGGCGCTGTCCGCGCCGCCCAGCAGCTCGCCGTTGATGGACCACGCGTGCACCCAGCTGCCGCAGCAAGTCGCGATGTCGCCCTGCGCGACGTATTGTTATATTAATAACTAGTGCTCGTTCTACTGCTCCCAACTCTACATTCATTCATTAATTTCCAAGTGTGTTTATTGAGCTAGTTGTATTTCAGTCACAATCAGTCTATTTCCGTACTATAATAAAAATGTAATTACTTTTTAGGTCGCTTATAGCATTCGAGGATCTGTTGTGTCGCGTAAAAAGAACGGCTAAACTGCTACAACCTGCAGCCCGGAGCGACGTAAAGCCGGAAATTCAATTACAACCACGCGAATTACTTAGATTGCCCCCTATAGATATCCCGATGTTTAATGGTGACATTAAAGCTTGGTCGTTATTTATTAATAGCTTTTAGAACACTACACATAACACAATCCCTCGTTATCGGACGCTGAAAAATTGTATTATTTAATTGGTAAGCCGAGTGGCAACGCACGATCCGTGTGTGCGGGTTTCACACCAACAGCAAATAATTATTCATTTCTTTGAAACGCTTAAAAATAAATATTAATATAATCGAATGTTAGCCTTTTCATATCTGGAACAAATATTCGATCTTAAGGTTATGTCATCCGCGAATATCGGTGGTTTCGAACAGTTTTTCGATAAATTCATAATATCAGTGGCTGCCCTCAAAATCTTAAATTTGATGACCTTATGGACTATGTGTTTTTGAAATGGAGAATAGTGGCTCTAAATTACCATAGTTTGAATCGTTGGCATCTTTAGTTCGAGACCAAATTAAAGTAATACAACGTTCATTAAATGCCAAACAGGAAGCGAAGAAGTGCGCCGACCATCAACCGGTCTCGTCATCGAAGATAGCTAAGTCTCTGACATATGTAAACACCGCGCCTTCGTTGCCTCATAACGCCTGTTTCTTATGTACCTAGGCCTAGGCGAGCAAAGTATTATGAACATTAGTATCGTTGTAACTAGGTTTAAACTCGCAAATTTGCTATCAAAGAGTAATCTTCTGTACTTGTGTACTGTTATTTACCCTGTGGTCTTAGCCACATTCGTTGCCGTCTATGGCTTGTTTAAGATTGATCGCACGGAGTTCGTAGTAGTAGAAGTGTTAAATTTTAAATTAAAGCTATTTACGGCCTTACTTACTAATCGTTGATTATGACTGTTTCACTTAGGTAATAATCTAATAATTATCATCTCCATACCTGTCTTTTTCTATTGTCATTTAGTGAGGAGAGAAAGAGAGCAACTTTAAGCATTACTCATATTAACGTAGTTTTTTGTAAGACTTTTAGTTTTAACATTGATTATTGATTGTCATTAAGACTGGTGGTAGGTACTGGTGGTGCACTCACGGTGAGGTCGTCAATAGCGAGCGCGGAGATGGGCGGCGGCGGCGCCAGGCAGTGCGGCGGCAGCAGCTGGCGCACGAAGGTGCCGCGCTCCACGTCCCACACGATGGCCTGCCCGTCGCGGCTGCCGCTCACCACCAGGTTGTACGCGGGGCTGGCGGCCAGGCACGTGACCGCCTCCTCGTGCCCGTACAGGCACACCTTCACCGCGAGCCGCCGCCGCCGCGCCCAGTACTGCCACACCGTCACCACCTGCGCCCACCGCGACGCTCTTACGTGTACAGGATTGTGTGTGGCCTCGCTGACCACTTCACTCTGTAACCTTCACTTTTACAGAAACATAACAACAGTATACTATATTCTATATTATACTGAGTTCCTGCTTTCTTTTTAATGAATGAACTGATTAAAAAGGAGTGACTTTTATATTCAATGTGATAAAAAGCATTATTTCACTGCAATAAATTTAGTTATGGTCAAACTTTTTAAACAAATAAGGCATGTTTAAAGCTGTTTTCAACTTTAAAATCTATATTGGTTCGGAGAACAAAATCTTCTCAGAGAAGAACCTTCCAAGCGTTGACTTTTTTTGCTTCCACGCACAAGCAAAAAACTCTTGGGTCTTTTATTGTTTCATGTATAAGTGCCGTGTTAAAATTTCTTTTACATCATAATATGTCAAATGTATATTTTATAAATGTATTATATCTTTAGGAAATAATAACTCTATTGTGAAGAGTCAAAATGTATCAAAAAAGGCACATATAGCAATTCACAACAATGTGTTGGTCCCTACTTTAACGTATGGTAGTGAAAGTTGGGTTTGGCAGAAGAAGAACGAGAGTAGATTAAACGCAGTAGAAATGCGGTCGTTAAGGAGTTTGTTAGGGCTGAATTTGAATGACATGTTGAGAAATTGTGTGATAAGAGAAGAGTGTGGTTTGCAAGATGATTTTGTGACCAGGATTAAGAAAGGAATGCTTCGGTGGTTTCCTCATACATTATGTCCACATGAAAGAATGAATAAGGAAAGAGTGACAAAGAAAATTTATGTTGCAGAACTGAACGGCAGAGTCGGAAAGGGTCGTCCTAGGCGAAAATTTATCGACCAAATTAACAATTTATTGAAAACGGGCCAAATTAGGAGTACCCTCAACCGACGAGTATGTATGCGTAGGTATATGGACGTGAAGGAGGCGAGAGAAGTGTGTCAGGACCGTGCCAAATGGAAGTCCGTAGTTTCTGCCTACCCCTCTGGGTGACAGGCGTGAGAGTATATGTATTATTTATATGTGAAATAATAACACTCCAGCGCTTTCAGATATTTTTTTAACGACAAATAAAGGCTAACGAAAGATATTACAAATAAACCTAACAGTGTCAGGAACACGGGAACACAGCCATTGCTGTTAACGCGGCCAATCACTGTGAACATTAAGCTGATGAAGGATGGACAAATGGATTTTTTATAATTAGTTGCTAGCCAATTAATAAAAAAAATGTTTGACCCTGCAGGCCATCCCTGGAACTTCCCGCTAATTTCATATGCAAAGCGTCCCAACTTTCACCAAATTATATTGCGAAATCTCGAAGTTATGTTAAAAAAAAGTTTTTTTGCAAATTCTTTTTACTTCGATATCTCACGGACGAATGAACCGATTTTTATTTTCCAAACGGTAGTCAACGTCATTTTTTAAGGTTAAGAGCTGATTAGTTTTTGAAATCGATCGGTAAAGCAGCTTAAAAGTTATTCCAAAAAAACAGTTTTTCAAAATTTTAATTTTTGGGATTTCTCAAAATCTACTAGTCCGAATCAGTTCATATTATCACCAAATCTATTCCACATTGAGATCTTTAGAACACCGCAAACTGCATCTCAATCGATCAAGACGTTCAAAGTTATGAAAGATTTACATACTTGCACGCACACACACATACATACATCCGTACGGACGTCCACGTGAAATTAGTTAGAATAGCTTTCTGGGATCTCAAAACGTCGAGATCTGATAAAAACTCGATTTTCGAAAATCCTGGTGAAACCAATAACTTCACTATTTTGGAAAATTTTCAATTTTCTTAGCGGGAAATTAAAAACATTAATTTATTGGAATGATTAAGTTTCCTAAACATATAACGATACATAAATTAAAAAAAGCGACAGTAGCCTAATGGCAAGGCGCGGACCGCGAACTCAAAAAGGTCGTGGGTTCGAATCCGCCATTCGACTACTGGCGTGAACCACTCATAACACAAGCAATTTAAGCTTACCACGAGTGGTTAAGGGGAATATTAGTAATGTTTATAGCATTGTTAATATTCTTTTTTTAAATAAAAAAAATAGACTCACAGTACTAGTGCCTGCAGTTACAATGGTTTTGGCAGAAGGACACACGCAAGTGACTATCTCCCCACAAGCGTGTGCAACGCTCTCACAGACGAACACCGCCTTGTCGTTGTCGTAGTTACCAATTCGCAAAGAATGGTCAGCAAATCCCCACGCCACATACTTGTTGTATGACGGGGGCATTAGAACTTTGTTTTGCTCGACTGCCAATATCGCCTTCTCAGTATAAAGAATTTGGCCTACAGGGCCTTTCACCTCTGTAAAAAATATTTTATGAAAAATTACACTAAGACAAGTAAGCACGTAAGTTAGTAAATACATAAAATCGCCTAGGGAGCACATATCATACAAGCAATTACGTCGTATTATCAGTTAATCACTACCACAAACCCGATTCGCTGTGTTGACAGACTGATTTTAATACATATTTATTTGTTAATAGCGTGCAATTTGGCATTTTCTAAATAATTTGCATGCGAAATTTGGATACGTGTGAATTGACGTATTAGTGACATTTTAGTGGCTACGCGGGCTCCGCCCACTCCCCCGTTTTATTATGTATGTAATTATAGTATTCTATGGTAAATACACTAAAACATTGAATGTTAAAAACTACCTTTAACAGGCTGCAATGATGGTCTTAAGTTCTCCAAATTGTGGAAGAATAGTTTCTCAGGCGGAGTTATGCCTTGTGATGGTATAATGTTGTTCGGATCCAAAATTGTAGAACTCCGTTGAGACATTTTCTTACTAGGATGTGCTTTCTTAAAAAGCTGCTTTGGTATTTGACCAAAATTGTTTATAAAGCCGATTGTAGCGTTTTTCTTTAACGGGTCGTCGATACTGAAAACAGTCCCATAGCAATAAAAATTACCGAGACGCGTTCATAGTTAACAAACACGAAAAAACATAATAACAACATCCACTACAATAGCTTTTGTACCAAACAAATAGTTTATCATAGGTTGCAAAGAAATATAAAGTGGACTGCGTTGAGAAAAATAACAGCCCATCAAAAAATAACATCCCATCAAAAAATAACAGCCCATCAAAAAATAAGCCCATCAAAAAATAACAGCCCATCAAAAAATAACAGCCCATCAAAAACATGGAAACCAAGTCTCGCAACTCAGTTCTTCTACCGTCAAAAGTTGTGAGATGCACGTAATACCAAGTCGGTTAATTTATTCAGTCCCTACTTTAAGGATCCTTAAGTTATTACGTAATTAGCTAACCTAACAACATCTTGTAGTGACCGTATCAATGTTAAAAATCTTTAATGTTTCAAATAAATAGATTGACTTGGCCATCGTATGAAATCACAATGTATCTCAAGCGCCCTCCACATTCACGCCGTGAACACCCGTGAAAGGCGTGAACCGCGAATGTGGATGGTTTTCGCGCCCGTTCACGGGCTTCGCGCCTTTTCACGCCATGTTCCCCGTTCAGTGTCGGTATTTTGTGACCGCTTCAAAGGGTTTACGACGCGTGAACCTCCCGTGAACGCAAGCGCATCCACACTCGCGCGTGAAAACAATAACGCGCGAGACTCGTCGCTGTGAAGTTGTGCTTATTTGTATTTTTTTACGGAGGACGGTGCGTCAAAATGAGCGTCAGTTGGACGAACGAGCAGAAATTCCTGTTGATCGAGTATTATCATGCCGAACCCATTTTATGGGATGCTAAACATAAAGATCATAAAAATAAAATGAAAGTACACGACGCTTGGATACGAATAAAGGAAATAATGAATAGTATTTTATTTTATAGGATAGGGTGACAAACGAGCACAAATTCCACCACCAAATATGTATTATATAAAATAGATTTCGTTTGATATACATTTATTCTGTTTCATAATGTAAAGATAATTCATCAAAATAACATTTTCATTGGTTTTGACAGGGTTCTAGCCCGGGTTGCTCGCGGTTGCGGCGAGCACTTTGCCCTTGAGCTACCTTGGTTCATATCTTTTTTGTTTTTTTTTTATAGGATAGGGTGACAAACGAGCACACAGTCCACCTGATGGTAAGTAGTTGCTGTGGCCCATAGACATCTACATCTATCCTCGATTACGAATCAAAATGCAGATGCGTTGTCACCCGTGAGGACTAGAATGGAATGCCTCGTTTCCAGTAAAAAGGATCTCCGGTTCATTACACTCACCATAGCATTAATCAAACTCAGCATTAAGCTACTATTTTACGTGTGGTATTCTGTGAGAGCGTGGTCCTTCCCCGGTCGAGCCGACCCATTCGTGCTACAACTATACTACTAATATAACTGCAGCATGGCTCTACCACAAAAAGCGTTGAAGTGATTGATTGAAAAAAAAAGAAAATCTAATGTCCAGTTATAGAAATTATAAGAAAACGGGACAGGATTCTGAAAGGAAGTCCGTAGCAAGCAGCGACAAAATTTACAAGCCCATTTGAATTGCCTTTGACGTGATCGATGCTTTTCTAGAAGAAAGCGATAATTGTAAAAAAAACTACAAATACGGTTTTATTTATCTTTTATATATTACACGCAATTGTCGTGAGCCAAAGCGTTATTAGCAAAACGGCATTAGCAGTGCATATTTCAGTTCAGCGTCTATTACCGACGAGCGCGCGAACTAAACTGTGAACGATTGCGAGTGTGATTCACGGCGTGAATTCACGCCGTGAATCACACAGGAGTCTGGAGCCCGTATCACAAGTAATACATATTATATTAAATTAGATTTCTTAGTGCGATTGCAAAGTCAATCTATATATTTAAAATTTTAAAACATAAAAGATTTTTAACATTGATATTATGGTCACTATTAAACATTAAGATGTAATTATTTGGTATAACTATAATAAAATTTTACTGGTGATAATAATGTGAGAGACAAGAATTGGGTAGCTGACATCAACATGAATAAATAACTGCATCTTAAAATTTGAATTAGCTAATTTTAGATATGTCTAAAATATCGATTTTCCATTTTAAGTTACTACAAGTATATAAAATGTGTATAATAAATGATGATTATTTACTACAAAAACTATGACGTCCATTCTTATACAATTATGAGAATAAAGCATACGTGAATCAAATCTATACAAAATACAAATATTTGTTTTGATTATCTTAAAAAGTACTTCAATTGACTAAAGTGTAAAAATACCCAATTGAATATCCTTGTTATCTCATCTTTACGGCATTCCATCTTAGTCCTGAGGGATAACAATGCAACTTGATTTTTAATCTAGGGATATTCATCCAGAGCATCTTTTTTGCATCATGTGGAATGTGTGGATGTTTGCTTGACTGTTACATGTATGTGTGTTTTTTTATAGAATAAGGGTAACAAACGAGCACACAGTCTACCTGATGGTAAGTGGATGTTGTAGTCCATTAACAGCTAGATTTAAACTCGATAAAGAATTAAAATGCAGATGCGCCGTCACCCCTGAGGACTAAGATGGAATGCTTCGATTCCAGTAAAAACGGGTCTCCAGTTCTTTACACTAACCAAACGAAACGCAGCAGCATTAAGCTGCTATTTTATGATGGTATTCTGTGAGAGCGTGGTCTTTCCCCGGTCGAGTAGACCTAGTCATATATAGAATAAGGGTGACAAATGTGCACACAGTCCACCTGATGGTAAGTGGATGCTGTGGCCCATAGACATCTACATTTATCCTCGCCTAAGAATCAAAACGTAGATGTGTTGTCACCCCTGAGGAGTAAAATGAAATGCCTCGTTTCCAGTAAAAAAGGGTTTCCGGATCTCTACACTCACCATACGAAACACAGCAGTATTAAGTTGCTATTTTAAGCTGGTATTACGTGTTTCTTCCCCGATCGAGCCGACCCATTCATGTTACTACCATAATATAGCTGCAGCTTGGCTCTACCATGTATAAATAATGTGTGCGCATTACTTGTATATGTCGACGTTGCCCTCGTAGAAGAGGTGGTGGAAGACGTTGCAGGCTTCGACGGCGGGCTGTCCCTGCTGCTTGTAGCCGAACACGAGATCGATCCAGTGGTGCAGGCGGTGCGACACGTAGTCGCACTCGAGCGCGGCGCGGTGCGCGCGGATGAACTCGCGCGGGTCGCCGCGCGCCCACGCCGGCAGCACCACGTCGCCCAGCGCCACGCCCGACTGCTTGCACCCTGCGCGCCACTCCAAGCTGCTCATACTGCCTACTCACTCGCGACTTGCCCGCTCCGAACCAGCTCAACCCAAGCTTACCCAGTTTTACTCATATATTTAGGAAACAATCGAACAAAAAAGAAATTTTTAAATTAATTCCACAGACTAGTTTTCTTTAGTGATGAGAAGCAGCGAGTAAAATAAAAAATAAATGTAAGCTTGATTTATATTTTTAAGCATATTGAATGCATATCTTTATTACGCAACGGAAATTGCGAATTATGTGGTATAATGACTTAATTCATGATAATTATTTTAGTGAAGATATAAAACAATAAGGAAAAAATACTATCAAGTATATATTTTTACTAATTAATTATTTAATTGACTTTTTTTCCACAATTATCACATACTTGCTCAATTTCATCAATTATAAAGTTGTTAAATAAATAATGCCACGACACATGGAAAACCGTCGCCAAAAGCAAACTTATATTATCAATAGGATTTATCTGTGTCAATTAGTAAAAAAAAACAGATCACGTGATAATTATTAAAAACTAAATAACTTTATAGACCTCCTTAACAAAATAGTACTTACCTAGGTCAAAATTATTTGAGTTAACCAAAAACTCTGGTAAATAGAAAAATTCTGGAATTAATTCCTTGACGTCAGCCATGTTGTGCCGTGATGCTGAATTCCACGCCTCTTTTATGGAATGGAACATTCTGTTGAACATACATTCATCATAAATATTGAGTTCAGCTCAAAAAAAAATGATTTATATTATGTACAATTACTTTTATTTTTATAGCTGTCACTATCAGCTTCCATAGACTTTCTGGACGACTTACGAAGTGGTCATCTCATCTAGCGAGTGGGATGCACCCTATACTCACTTTGCTTACCAGTACAAGGTTGTCATTCGAGAACCGTATCGTACCGAAAAGAAGAAAATGGTTAAGGCATTTTAATTAATCATAAACATCATTCGGTACCTGTCAGCCAGGTCGAAGTGCCCACCCTGGAGCCTGAGGAAATGCTGTGTGAAGGGCTCCATGCGAACGAGATACGAGCACACGATCATGGCGGAAGAATAGTGCGTGCCATAGTGGTATGGTGGCGTCTCGCCGTGCGGGTCGTCCCATTCCTGAAATGTCATTTAAAAATAATGCTTCCTATGATTAATCATTACCCAGTTCGAAGCGAAATTTGTGTGACAAGCGAATTATAAATCGCCTTTAGTAGTAATATTTTTCCAAAATGGACCTCGTACAGAAATGATCCAACCCACAAAAAGGTAAAATAATGATATGAATGAAAAATAACAAGTATCCCAAGATCTACATAAAATTTTCTTTAAAATGATTGACATAACATGATATAATAGGGCTTCTGTCTCAAGAAAAATGCATCTTTCAAAACTGAATAACTTTATGTTTCCATACAAATATTTCTAAGCAAATTTCTTTTTGTTATAAATATGATTATATCTTACACACCTTATATCTTTTCCTAAACTGTTCCAATCTTTCAGGGCTTTGAGCACCCATAGGTTTACTCAAATCTCGGAACGTTGCTGGATCCGTCAGATCTAGTTCTAAGGAGTCGTAGTCGGCAAGAATCCAAGGAAATACCGGGTACTGCATCAAATCATTGTATGACCTTCCAGCTAAGGTGTTCAGGTGCATCAAGTACTGGAAGTTTGAAATTTCGCCTCTCTGTAAGAAAAATCATTAATTAAATAAACAATGTTTTAATTACGCGACATTGAAATTGTAATTAAGTTTTCTGTTAACGAGTTTTCTGAATTATACATATACTTTTTATATAACTTTAATAATAATATTGTTTGTATATACAATAACAAGTTTTAAAAATTCTCGACGCAATATTTTACGAGATTAATCCTCAGAATGTAACTTATATTTGGATTTTCAACCAAATTCAAAAAAGGAAGAGGTTCTTAATTCGACCGTATTTTCTTGTGTGTTATCTCAAAAATTTTTTCTAGGTGAATCGATATGAATGATTCTTTTTTATTCGAAAGCTGGCGTTTCACATGTGGTCCCATATAAATTTCATTAAGATTTGACCAGTAATTTTTGAGTTATCTTTAACAATGCGTATTTAATTAACTTCGACTACATTTATGATGTTCTCAATTTATTTATATTTGAAGTTGGTTGTACAAAATATTTAATTTTCCCTCTTGTGTCTAGTTATTTTGTGTGTTGATTATTTATTAGTTGGCAATGCTTGGACTGGAACGAGAATATAGTTTTTTTGGTAAAGTCCTCCCCTTCCAATCACCGTTATTAAAAAAAGATTTAAGAATATGCGTAATTAGCGCACAGCTAGACTGTTCGGACTAGTCAAGTATTCGTGTAGTATGTATGCGTGGCGGTGTGGTGGAGTACGCACGAGCCAGCGCTGCGTGACGGAGGTGTCGCCGATGAGCGAGGCGAGCAGGCCGGCGGGCTGCTCCACGGCCACGCCGCGCTTCTGCCCCGCCACCGAGCCCGCCGCGCTGTCCGCCATGCCCGTCGCCAGCGCCGTGAACCGGCTGTACACCTGCGCGCGCACACACACACTCATAGCGCCTCAGTACCGTAACAATATGAGTACACTGTCCAATTTGAAATATTATTACAACGAGCTTTTTTAATATAGGATAGGATGACAAACGAGCACACAGTCCACCTTACGGTAAGTGGTTGCTGTGGCCCATAGACGTCTACATCTGTCCTCGATTACGAATCAAAATGCAGATGCGTTGTCACCCGTAAGGACAAGATGGAATGCCTCGTTGCCACTCACCATACGAAACACAGCAGCATTAAGCCCCGGTCGAGCCGACCCATTCGTGCCACAACTACACTACTAATATAACTGCAGCATGGCTCTACCACTCATAGCTTTACAAAGACCAATAATTATTTAACCTTTTGAGCGCCATACCAAAAACGCATTCCAGTGTCCTGTACGCCAAAGCACAGAGTAAACAAATACCTACAAACAATAGTGTTGCTAAAATTTCATGTATGGGTAACATACAGCGACTTGTTTATTGTTGGTTTTATGCAATAAATGACTAAGTACTTATGATCTGGGATTTTTTATTTAATGTTGTGCTATCTTCCACTCTTTGTATATATGAACTTAGTACATAAATATAAAACAAACATTACAAATAAAATAGTAGTAAACCACATCACTACTCTCCATCTCGATGACGTTACTGTCTAGACTGGACAACAGCGGCGTTGCTGACCTTCCTTTTTAAAAGTTTCTTCGAGATATATCAGTGTCACACGTGTATCGATTTCAAAATGTTATGAGACTTTATCTTTTTCCGAGGCTTCTACGGTCCCTCTACGCGGATATGCATAGATCTCGATGAAATTCACCGAAAAGTATGAATAAAATCTTTCGATATCTCGCTTAGTTTCAGAGATATCGATACTCGAAAATTTAAAAAAAAATATTTGACCGTATTCGGTATATTTTTAGAAGGTAAAAATATTGACATCCATTACTTGCATACGGGGGTGGGGGGAGAGAGTAGTACTAGATGGCGCTAGTGGCATTAATTATGGCGCGCAACAGTACGTTCAGGGGAAGCCCTTTCCCCCTTGCGGAAAAGTGTAGCTTATGATTATTTTTTCTAAAATCGTAACCCTTCAAAACGTAAGAACCGTAGTCGTGCCTTTTTCCTTTATAATTTATTGAAACAATCACTAAAATATATATGAGTACCTACTTAATTATGTCCATATTTTTAATTCTGTGTGACTATTTCCTGTTAAAGATCCATATTTTATTTAGGTAGGTAACTCTTGTACGGCTATGCTGTTAGATGCGAAAGTGTTAGTTACAAAAGGGATGTCGCCGCCGAGAACAAAAGAGCCGCTTAGTACTAAGTCGAAACGCTATTATTTCTTATTTGCTATTAGATCTTAACACTTGTACTGGGCCTTAATTCTTTTTCATTAGGTTAATTTATAATTTGTAGTCTACTCAGGGCACCTGCTTTATGGAAGGATTATGCTGAAATATAGTTTAAGAGAATTATTTAAAAATTATTACAATTAGCTTTTTGAGAAAAAAATATCTATTAGTTGCATTATAAAAGTAGAAACATGATGAGAATTATTTTAATCTCGAAAACAAAATGTTAATGTTGCACTTCACTATTTTTCCAGCTATTCGCTTATGATGTCATGAGGGTGTCCTCTGTCTTTGACCACGGCGCCCAGTGAACTGATAATCGATGACGTACTAACGATAATCCAGAGTTGAGATATTTCATTTATTATTTGAAGTTGATCACATTTTTTAAATTTATATAGCAGATGGTAGTTTTATATTTCTTACCTTTTGTTTAATTCCGATATCAATAATAGTTGAAAAAAAAAACATGTTTGAGTTAAATTTTGAAAAGTTTTGCTGAAAAAAGCTGGACATAGTATTTGCGTGAATAAAAATCATTTTTTGTTAGTTCAATATTGCTCAGTATTTGCGGCACTAAGAGACTAGTTTTTTATACTTACATGTTACTGGAATATTCTATATTGAGCAACGTAGAATTAAAATAGCAGTAATAATTTTTCAATATCTATATTTCATATTTTTGTGGACCGGGTTTTTTGCCGACTATAGACGTCGTTGGCGCAGAGGACCCGCAAGTGCTGGTAAAATATAGGTGACTTTAACGCTCAAAAGGTTAATGAAAAATAACTAATATAAGAAACGTATTATTACATAATTAATTTCTGTGTTAAATAATTAACGATCATTTTTATTTATTATATCAAAAAATTGGATTTTTATAATTGTATTATACACACTCAGATTTTTGATTTCGAATCCTGATTATAAAAGCTTTAGAAATTGACTATCAACTGTAATGATAACCACGTGAGAATCATAAGTGGCGGTGTAAGAATATCCACTACTGCATATCGATCTGTATGTGTAAGAGGGGACGGGGGAACAAACCACAAGATGGACAGCAACGTCTTTCTAATAACAACTTAAAAATAAAAAAAAACTGCGATCGCCACCCCGCCTGCCATGCGTGGTAACATAGACAAACATCCCCCCCCTCCCCTAAGAGATTATCTATGTTCAGCAGTGGACATTTAATAGACTATAAAGGTATTAACTATTAACTGTAATAATCGACAAACTTCCGCTTTGATCTACAAAGCTAAAGTTTGCTAATGGCGGCTTTGTGTAGAGGTCAGTGTTTGTCCGTAGACTCGTGATTTAATTTTATTTGTTAGGTTCACCAATGTTTGTTCATATTGCAGGATTTTTACAATAATTGGTTCTATGTCTAATATGATAAACACTAAAGATATTAATAGTTATTTTGCAACCATCCGCTCAATTAAATGATGTGTCTTACCTAGCTTGAAGGACACCTCCCGCCCTCCCTCAATTGCGTGCACTAATCCCGCCATCAGTAATCCCAGCCCACTACTCCCAACACCACTACTTCTAACACCACTATTCTCGGAAAGATACACCATTGACGACAATACGACACGTGTTTCGCCTCTACACGAGGCATCTTCAGATGATGTTGACTCTACGGCGGCGACCGTTAAGACTGACTTTTTTGACTTAGACTGAGGGAGGGCGGGAGGTGCTCTTCAATCTAGGGAAGACACATCGTTTTATTTAATTTAGCGGATGGTTGCAAAGTAACCATTAATATCTTTATTATAATGGATTTCCGCAAAGTAACGCCTGATTCTATTAATTATGATAAACACTGACAAACACCACTTGTGATGAGCTGTAATAAGTGATGATAACGAGAAAGATAAAATACGACACACATTACCTTATTCCGAATTTTCCTAGGAAACGCAAGCAAATAGTTTCGACCGTCACTGGAGAACACTTCTAATGCTATAGGTTGCAATAAATAACGCCTTTTGTGGACTTCTCTGTTCACAAAATAAACAATGTTATGTGTAATAAACATCATTAAAGAGAAACAAAAATTAAACGATATTTATCAACCAACAATTTACCTTATGTCTTCGTACAAAAATTTCGAACACTGTCTTTGATTACTCCTCTGAATACCTTGACTAGGGAGGATTGGTTCATAATCATCCGGACAGCTGTCTAAGTCTCGAATCTCTCTGTTCTTTAGTATAGTGAATCCATCTATAACATAGCAATGTTCACGGCCAAACAACAATAGTCCTTCTGTAGTATCAAGACCTTGTATCCGTGCACATCTGAACATATGTGTAATCTGAAAAGGATATATTAAAACTGAGTGCAATTAAAATATGATCATGTCACAGTCTATATATTCTGCTAAAGTAATTAAAAAGTATTGTTAGTAACATTCTTAACCCTATAATGTTCTTAAATAAACAGAAATAAATTTTCTGCAAAGAGAACTTTATTACCTTTTCATGGTGCTCTAATAACCTAAGCAATGTCTGATTATCAGGTGGCGGGGAATGCTGCTCGTCTTCATCCTCAACATCGGGACCATCCTCGTTTGCTGAAAATTAGAATTTTAATTAATATTGCAGTAATTGTGATGTTTTTATACTATTAGGAGTGCTCTTGTTACCTTCACTGGAAGTTTGATTGTTGCCACGACTGACAACACCGCTGCTGACTAGATCGGAAGGCGAACCTTCTTCATTGGTAATATCGAGTGAAGCGTCCCTATTACTATAAAATAAACAATATTAAATGATTATTTAGTAAATTTATGTTATTCGGACATCAGAAATCCTAAAATACTAACTCAAAAACAGTCACAAACCATTAAAGCATCTACCAAAAAAAAGTTAAAGATTAAAAAGATACTAAAATATATTTCTAATTTAAATTATTTCTTATTCCGATTACTATCATAACGTAATCGTAACAAAACTATATGCAAAAATGTATTTAACACATTTTGTACTAATCTCGGAATACTTACTTCGTAATTTCTTCTTTGTACATATCTATATCTGATGTTTCAATGCTATCTGTTTCACCCAAACTATTCCCTGCGGTCCGCCATTGCTGATATACTCTGTAATATTCTTTGCTGTCCAGGCTTTGAGCGACCTTGTACTTCAATTGTTTCTGTAAATACATGATGGCAATTACGTAACCATTATGTAGTCACTGGACGTTTGTATAGTAAAACCTTAATGGCTTTCGTAATAAAAAATGAAACTTATATTACATTATTTTGGTTAAGTTGAGTTTCTTACAGCCGGGACACATGTAATCTATGTAATGTCCTAGATAAAGACCTTAACTTATTTCTGTAAAGGTACGGAGTAAAAAAAACCGTTGCACAATTTTATTAATTTCTCAGCTAAGCGAGTTTCTATTTTTCCGAGTCCATAATAAATCACTGTTTAAAATTGTGATAAAAGCTTCATTTATGTTCGCCCGAAGCGGACACAAATTGCAAATATAATAATAAAAATATCACATACAGATTGTTCGTAATATTTATGAAAAATACAAAAACGACAAGCACATAGATTCACCTGATGATATCTAGAGCTAGTTACATTTTGAGAAGTGTGCGTGTGCGATTGACAAGTAAACACTGTCAAGTGATAACTAGCAAATAGGTGTTCACACTGTCACAGATATGACAAGTGGATACGCCGTAAGGTAATTATTGCGTGGCATTTCAAACCACATTGTAGGTTTTTTAACCTATTATTTAGTAGCTCTAAAACGGTTATAATAATTAGGGTTTTTACTAATACGTGCATATCGTACTGTGCCGGCTAGAGCAAGAGCGGTGAGTGAACAAGGGGAAAATGAGGGTAGCGCGGGGCAGAATTACTTGTTAAAGAATAGCGCAGGCTGCTATTTACTTGTAACTATTAATTTCATACTCATCACTTGTTATTAGTCGGTTGCACTTGCCACTCGCACTTGTCACTTCTCAAAATGTAAACTGGACCGAAGTCACAGTTATTATAAAAACTATCATCTACCTTGATGAAGAATAAGCTTAAGTGTGTAGTTTTGAGACATATATTTTTGTTTCACCAACCAATACTTACATGCTTCAAACCGAGTATAGTTATAAATTACTTTTAAATAGTATTAACGGCAGGTCTCGTTTCGAACGCCCGAGTGCTTTTATTTAAAAAAAAAGTAAAGATAATGACGTATTAAATAAATGAACAAAATAATATGAATGTTCTTCAACTTATTCTTTTTCTTTATTTTTAAAGGACCTAAAAGTCCACAGTTGGACTTGGACATGGGTATCTCTCGCTGTAGGAAACTTATTAAACATTATAATATGATTTTGTAATTACTACAACTATTTATAAATTATAATTTATGAATAGTTGAAAACATACAGTGGCATCATGTACATCAGTAGCTCTATGGTATAAACAGAGTTTTAAGACTAACAGTTGGGAAACGAAAGTACTCGTGCAGAGCAACGACGGGGTTCTTGCGGGTCAGGGGGCGGCGCAACCTTATGCCAGAGCGCTCCACTAAGTATGCTCTACAATACATACATAGACAGTTGACGGAAGCGTGATTTAAAGTACTTATTTTAAGTGCCATTTAAGAAAAAAATAATATCAATAATGGTGAATTACTGTTATAGTTATATGAGTTACCAAGTAAAATTGAATTCAAATGATGGGAATGCGAATACACTACATAATTAAATTTAACAATCAAAAACTGAAAACATCTATAAAAAGAAAGTGAAAGGCAGTGGCAAACTTGTAATTACATTTTCTTGTAATAAAAAAATTACCTTTCAATAAGTTTTTTAACTTATAAGTATGTACATAATGTTGTTAAATGATAATGAGTATTATAATATTCAAAATTATTTTATTTACAATTTCGTGACAATCCCTAGCATACACGCCGTCCGCGTAAATATTTACACAGGAGGCAGCATCGCCTGACATTACTTTACATAACTGATCGCTTTTTAAGCTGTGGTATAAATGTGGAGTGGTCAAAGAGTTGTGAATAGTAAGATAGTCGTAATAACTGGTGCGCTGCGCTCGTACAATTAGTTGTGAGCGAAGGAGTGGGGTACGTACGTTGTCCGGGTGCTGCAGGTCCGGGCGGTAGGGGTAGTGCAGGTAGAAGTGGTGGTTGCGGCGCAACATTTTGCGCATGCGGCACGGGCCCTCGGTGCAGTCGAGCGCCCACTTGTCGAGCGGCGAGGCGCGCGGCGGGCCCCACAAGCCGCGCTCGCGCGTCAGCTCGCGCCACGCGCCCGCCCACTCCGCCTGCACGTAGCGCGACGTGTGCGCGCTCGTGTTGGCCGCCGCCTGCAGCTGCACGCACCACGCCTGCCTGCCGCCACACACACAACCACTACGTGCCGTTACCTGACTAATGCTCAACAGACTACATTATATATTACACCTATATTTCATTTCAGTCAGGAAGTTGGCGGTGTTTCACCCCCGTGAGTCGGAAAGCCGTTTTAGTTGATCCTGCGTCTGATCTTTATCTGGTCATCTCGGATTACCGTCACATCGGTCTATGAAATTGGGGAAATAAAGGGGGCTGGGATTTAATCTACTCCCAATTCTCACATTTTGACATTATTAGTAGGATTAGATTATATCTATTCAGCTCTCCTGTCCGGCGAGCATTTTGGCGAATGGCTCTGGGGGAGAGCGCAGATCGCGTTGATCTCCAAGGCAAGTCTGAGGAGTTCTTCCTTCACGCGGTTGCCGCTTGTTATTTCAACTGGTTCAATAGGAAACAGACAGAACAGAAACTTTTCTGTATGTTTCCTATTGAACCAGTTTCATCATCCTTCTTTTCTTTAATACTACCCCCTTTCTATCCTAACCCAATTAAAGGTATTAAACGTACCGTGCCGATGGATGCGTAAAGCCTACTTAGCTGTGATATCACTTGAGATAACGTGATATGACTGAATTCCACGTGGAAGAAAACGTATTCGTATACCACTTTAAGTTAGTATTTCTTTATTATTTGTTTTCCTTGAAACGTGTTGCTATGAATACAAAACTAACTAAAACTAAATGGAGGTCTATTTAGAAGGTACTTACTTCCTGTAATAAATAACGCCGTATTTACGGATAATAAAATTTATTCAAAGTTATGAAATAGAAACATTTATTAAACCGCCGTAACAATTCAACCCATCCGTAATCATTAATCGATCGAATGTGTATGTCTAATACGTATTATTTAAGTCCGGATCTCCAGGAAAACTGCAAAAATGGTTTATGGAATTGAATAAAACTAAATTTACGGATTTCATCGCGTTTATTTTTCCGTAAATTTAGTTTTATTCAATGTGTAGTGTTCGCGTAAATTTAAGAAATCATTATGGTTTATGGAAATGAAAAATGTCAAAAAAATACCAATAACAGTAAATAGTACAGTATAGGTAGGCCAACACAAGGCAAGCGCGAAATCGGAAGAAAAAGTATGAACATATATTTTTTTTTACTTTAACAAAAAATGGGTCTACCCAACTCTTTGTGGGTAATGAGGCGTGAGGTGAATATATAGTATATACCATATAGTAATGATACGTAACCAGAAGATCGAATTTAAAAACTTTATTGCTAATTTTTAATGTTATCCTATAGAGGGAATAAATTTAAAATTTAATAAAAAATGTTAAAATTGAGTTTTTTCGTAGGTCAATAAAATAATATTTATTATTGCATATCTATTTAGCTAGCTAGCGTCTACTTAGCTTTTCATTAAGTCAAGTATAAATTTAAAACCGACAATATTTTCCGGCTTACCACACAATAGATATTTTAGGTCGCAGTGATACTGGTCTCTCTCTCGAGATTTGCATAGCTGCTCAAATATGGAAATAAAGAGTACGCTTGAGCTTGCAACACACACCCTCGTCCACTATAATACTGTTTTGCGAAAATTACCAATCTCCGTTGAAATTATTATTTTATCCCATCTATCCACTTTAGTTCTTAGGGGTAACATTAAACATGGCAAACAGATAAAACTGACATTATTTTGTAAATCCAAGGTAAGAAAGATATTTGCCATGACTGTCACGCTAAAGAACGGTTTAGCAACCATAATAACGGTGACGATAATAATGAAATTAAGATCAACACTTCAAGGTAAAGAATGTAAACACCCTAACCTTTATACACTTGTGTTACGAAAACGGATACTTGATACCTCTATCTTATCTTCTTATACGCATTATGGACGGAAATAGATGGTGCTAAGTGATTTATAATATTGGAATTGGTAGTAAAATTGATATCATTTAAGAGAAGTTTTAAAAAAGTTTGGTTATTACGTGTACTAACCTAACCAACTGCACGTGATCCTGCATATATGCGAGTGCGTGTTCACGGGGTGGATGTGATCGCTGTTTCGAAAATTCTTCTTTCTTGACTTTAGTCCTGGAAGCCAGTCGTGTAAGCCCACCGGTTACCTTTTGTATCTTGGATTGAATTTGATTATGGAGCTCCCATGGAACTCGGTAAACGGCCTGTATAATAAAAACGTAAAAAATAAATTTCGACATACAACAAAAAGCATAAAATATGTTATGAATGGGTACAAAACTCAGATTTTTAAGTAATAAAAGAAACAAAATGGCTAATAACAGTTTAAGTGATGTTAAAAGTCCTCTTACATTTCGGCGTTACACAAAGGGGAATGCCCATTCTTCATAGACACTTCGGCCATGGGTGCCCACATATAAAAGCATATAGATATGATAATATACAATTAAAACAATGAAATGGTAAAGGAATTGCTTTCAAAAAAAGTCGGGATTTTGAAGATATATAAGTTTTTATTTTCACAAATACAGTTTTTTTAACAACTACTTTTATCGATTTTATCGCGTTTTATTTCTTTGATTTTTAATTCCAGACGTTTCGGGTGCTTTCCAGCACCCATGGTCACGGCGGACTGAGGTGACTGACGTCCCAATGTCAGTGTTAACCTGGAGTACCTTCAGATTTTTAATTTTTATTTATGGTCCGATCTACAAAATGAACTTACTGTGTCTTGAAGTCTTGCAATGGTATGCTTGGATTTAGTTTTAATTTCATTAATTAAAGGGTCCCAAGCCGATGGTAGTACCAAGCCTCCTTCTCTATTGAAATAAGGATTTTTTTATTTCAATAGTCTCACGTATGATCCTTGATAGGAATTGATGTTCCTTCGAGAGGATTTGTGGTCTATCAAATCTAATTTATGTCTATCTGGTTGGGGCCCACTAGGATATGATCACAAACTGCAAACTTCCCTGAACTTCGATGCTTCACGTCAGCTATATTTTCTTTTTACGCGGGTTCTAATTGTTCTTTTCGTTTGCCCTATAAATGAGAGCCCACATTAACAATCAATGCATCTTTTAGAAGAAAATGACACTTGATGGATGGTAAGAACTCACTAATCTTCTTCAGAGGCTTGTAGAATATTTTAAAAGAAGCTCGCTTCAAGATGTACCCAATCTTGTCTGTGACACCCATGACATGGTAGTACTTCACACGCTTGACTGTGGCCCGGCTTCACTCGGTCGTTTCGGAAGCTTGTTGACATGCAGAACCTGCGTAACGTGCTGAAGCTCAACGGCCAGATATTTGCTGTCACAGATCCCTTGTGCTCTCTGTAACAAAGATTTGCTCACGGTAGCTAACTTGTGTAGGATGATGGTGAAATTCATTGTTTTCTATACACAGTGTGACCTATGGTGTTGTTAGGATTTTGGATGACTAACGCATCTAGGAAAGCTAAGGAATAATTTGCCTCTAATTAGACATCAATACATCATCCAGGAACTGAGCAGGAGGCGAAATGTTAGTCTGATGCTATGCCCAACCCAAATACCATATTACTGTCATAACATGGGCACAGAATCCTATCGTTCGACGGCTGACAATACAATTGCAACAATGCTTTTTAATTGCACTTCTACCAGAACCATTGCCACTAATTAATAATATATATAAAATTAAGATAAGAAAATCCTGATTTAATATTTCACAGGCCATATTTATGAGCAGCTCTAATGTGCTTCTTGGAACTTGCAATAATGCCGACATGCGTTCATCACTATCTATTATATTTACTTGACAGTCTCGGAACTTCAGACAGAATTTGTAGCAAGATAATAATGTACATTTCTTTTTCACTTATACTCTGTTTGCTAATGTTATCATTATAGGATATTCATAAAGTATTCTTATCTCTCATTATTATTTATTGTTACCAATTTAATATTTCTTTGTGGGTAACGGTGCTGGTTACATAACGATTAAGACTAATGTTATTTATAAATTGTTATTTGGTTTAAGCATTATTATGTAATTGTTTGTTGTCCTGAATAAAAAAGTATAGTATGCTAAGGCATACTCTGAATATTTTCAGTCTATATGATGTGCATATTATCTTTCTATAATGTAGCAAAATCTGCTATTTGTGCTGCACTAAATGTTTTAATAGGATTATATATTGTTGATTCTAAAAGTACAAAAAATTTTTTTATAGGATGGGGTGACAAACAAGCACACAGTCCACCTGATGGTAAGTGGTTGCGGTGGCCCATAGATATATACATCTATCCTTGATTAAAAATCAAAATGCAGATGCATTGTTACCCTTGAGGACTAAGATTGTTTTCTCGTTTCCAGTAAAAAGTGTCTCCAGTTCTCTACACTAACCATACGAGACACAGCAGCATTAAGCTACTATTTCACGCTGGTATTCTGTGAGAGCGTGGTCCTTCCCCGGTCAAGCCGACCCATTCGTGCTACAACTATACTACTAATATAACTGCAGCATGGCTCTACCACGTATAACACACATACATAGTAATTGTAATCGCAAAAGAGACGTACCCGCAATGCTGACGGAACAGTGAGTCGATTGGAATTGTTACAATCAGGTAAAAACATTCGGTGTTAGTGATGCTTTTACATAATTAGTTAGCAGTACACTGTGCTATGTATGATCTAAGCTTTGTTGTTCTGGGTGCAATACATTACTCACTTCAAATTGCTTTGAGGACGGACTACATGATTCGGATGGTTCCCGTTCTGCAGTTGAATGTGATGCTGTTCTATCAGTCCTTTACCAGCAATTATGATACACACGAGATGACGATGACAACTGAAATAATTTTAAATACAAAAAATAAGGTCAGAGTGAAAAAAAATAGATTTGTTTATTTTAAACTCAAATTATTATATTTATATAAAATATTTATCAAGTTAAATGTTACTGCACAAAGACGGACTTACGGCTTTATATCATTTAATAATTAAAGCCTGACAAGACTACCAGCAGTCCAAAAACAATGAAAAATCAACCGTCTCATTTCTTGGTAGTTGATAAAAATTGTCAATCTCGTAAATAAGCTAGTATGTTTGTCATATATAGCTTACACAGATGTGAAAAAATAAAACAAGTTCTTGAGTTGATATGCAATCAGTGTAAAACATGTTCAACTATCATATATGAGCACCTCACTTAATAAATTGAAAAATGTTAAACACTTACCTCACGTGGTCCAATTTGATTGGAAATCTTATTCTTTATGAGTTCCTCACGTGGAGAATCGAACCCAAACAATGTGTGTGAACTTATTCTCATAAGTGACTTGCCACAGCTGATGCATAATATTCATGACGAACTATTGGTGCATTTTGTGAGTGGCACACTACACGTACACTGTCGATCGAAACTTGTACCTAATAAAGAAGCTATTATTATTATATTGATATTATTTAAGTAAACTCAGTTAAAAAGCATTTCTCAAAAGAAGACATGACACTTCGTGACATGTACCAACTATTTACCTGCTGTGTTCGAACCAATTGTTGAGAGATCAACAATTCAATTTCCAACAAAACAAAACATTCAAAATAACTACTTTTACACTCTATAAATAACACGAAAACGAATTCGTCTTGTGACTTGACAGGGGCCTAGCTGTCAGATTCGATGTTGCCACTTAGCTGTCATAAAATCTATGAAACGATATCGATTTTTATTCGATTAATAATATCATAAAAAGAATAATCTTATACGCGCTTTAATTTCTGTACGCTATTTAAAATACATTTTCCTTTTTTTGAATTTCTATTTCAAATGTATTTTTAAGAACAGTTATCTTGTGCAGTATTGTTTTGTTATGCTCTAGAGAATTCACGGTAAATCAGCTATAAATTAACTTCTTTAATTATCATAACACATTTTAAATGTAATGTTAAGAACAGATAAGAACAACAGTTAAATTGTGCAGTAGTGTTTTGATATACTCTAAAGAATTCATGGTAAATCAGTTAATAATTCGCTTGTTTAATTATCATAAATAATCTATAGATGCAGAACTTCGGAGATATTGGGACTTGTATCGAAGCTTGTCAGTAGATAATTGAATTATGTCGATTTTTTCTCCTTACGTAAAAAGCATATAACGAAAATGTATTATTTTATAGATAGATAAATCTTTTTGATGGGATATATCCCCGTCTTCTGAAATTTTTGTCTAAACATGCTGAAAAATTATTACTAGTTATGTTTCTGAGCTTATTGTAGTAGAGAAAATGAACTATTGTTAATTGTTATTTCAAGCAACGAAAGAAAAACATATAATTTCAACAAGTAAACCTTGTAATTTCGCGGTTTTTTTTTTGGTAATACTCCTCTTAAGTAGTAAAAATCTATGAATATAATCGAATAATTGTATTCAATATACATGTAATTCTTATTGATATTTATAATTTTATATCTGCGTCCAACTTCAACTTAGACAATATGTCTCATAAAATGTTATTAAATTACGTGGTATAGCCATGTCGCAGCTATTATAAGCTTGTAGCACGAATGGATCAGCTCGACAGGGGAGGATCACGCTCTTACAGAATAACGGCATGAAATAGTAGCTTAATGCTGCTGTGTTTCGTAAGGTGAGTGTAGAGGACTGGAGACAAAAGGTATTGGGTACAGCATCCACATATCATTAAGGGTACACTAGTCGCTTATTCTTCCATACAAACGTAGTCCGGCGATTACTCCACTGTTTGATGGTATACGTTCAAAATAAAAAAATTATTTCAATTTGTCTCATCATTATCTAGCCCTGTATGGAAACAAAAAAGTAAAAAAAGAGTATGTTTAGAAGTTATAAGCGTCGAAAATTCCGAATTTCAACACTAGTAACACATATTTGGGCGGAAATAAATACCATAAGAAGAACGAAAATTGCAAAACAGTTACCATACAGGGATAGATTAGTTGTTCAAAAATGCAAATAATTTTATTTTGAACAGATACATTCAATAGATTTTTCGTGACATCCAGACTACCAAAGGTCTGTTTATAAAATTTCGCGCGCCCGTTTTTGTTATAAAACATCTTGCCTTTCGCTACAAATTGTTTCCCCGATCAGTGGGACGGACGGGGGGGGGGGGGGGCGCACTCACACATACTCACTAGGTTAGCCGCTGCTATCTATTTATGGTTGTAATACCTACATATCTACATCTTTATTTAGAAAAAATTGCTTCCTTTTATTCGTGTCCATTGCTGAAGCCGGGATGAATATAGCTGCTAAAATGTGCCCATAAGTTTGTTGAAGCACATTTAGTTAAAATTGAAAACAGGTAGGTACATAATAATGAACTTTCGATACAGGTAGTACATTAGGTACTTAACTACTTTAATTTGCTAACTAACGAAAACATCTCATAGATAAGCACGATTATCGAACATCTTAAAATTGTCTATTAATTTAATTAGAATAGGTAATTTTTAGATTTTAGATAATCGTGCTTACGTATAGGAATCTCATATCCTAATATACCTAATGTAATTTATGTAAGTACATAATAATCTAAGAAGGGCAGTCAATGATAAATAAAATGTGTTTTGTAAGTTGTTTTTTTTTTTTAAAAAAAACACTAACACAACAAAAACATGAAACTGAGAAGAAGCACCCGATCTGCCGAAACAAACTCAGAGAGGTCATTCCAGGTATTACATTGGTCAGGTCATACGAGAACCAGGCTAATATGGTCCTTTGAAGAAAGAATCATACAGATGTGAGTGGACAACTTAGTACTTTTTAGGATTCCGTACCCGAAGGGTAAGCAGCAGGGCCCTATTACGGAGCCTATACATGATCCGTAATAGGTAGATGGTTGTAATTTTCACAGAACGTGTATTTCTGTTGCCGCTATAACAGCAAGAGGTAAAAATAAATTTGAAATTAAAGGATTTTCTACTAGAAAAAGAAACGTGTATTTTTGGCTGATTTGAGTAATATGTATAGGTATTTAAATCTTGTAATCTCGTAAGCTCGGAAGTCCGATTCGCACTTGGCAAAATATTTGTTTATATTTAACCTTACCTCAGACATACTCATATTTTTTATATATAATTTACTATACTACTATATAAGCTACTACTAAATAAAATAGTAGTAGCTTTGCTATGGTATTATAATATATTTTGGATTAGATTTAATTTATTATAGAATAATACGAACTATATAAAAACTAAGGAGCGCATCAACCTACCTTAGATATTGGGTTATGAATGCAGATAAGTACACATAGGATTTAGTTTCTAAGTTGTACATATTTTATAGCCTTCGTTATGAATAGCATAACCAGGCCAAGCCCCCTAGCCTACAAAGGTTTCGTAATGAATCTTTTCTACAATCGCGCCTTTTATTTGTTTGGACTGACCACCTGACTCGTTCAGTGATGCCATTCCCATACAGTGTTTAGTTTTCAACTAGCGTTATCTATTATAAAATAAATCAAAATTTTATTCATATTTCGCTAATTGTGTCTGTACTGTGAATTTGATTTACAATCGACCTCTAAATTGTAGTTTTCTTCTAATTACTTACCTTGCCTAGACGTGTTCTTTGGACTTTTGTAAGGAAGTCTGTGCTGTTAGTATTCCGTTTATATACGTTACTATTTTGATAGACGTTTGTGCTTGTCCCTGCAGTGACACAATGCCTATTGTTGATAACTTTCTAAGTACTAAGAGAATATTTCAAACCGCTATTGAACACAAACAATCAATAAACAATTTACAAACTAAAATTTTTATTTATTTAATTAACCTATATAAAAGCCCCACTCACATCAAAATCGCGCTGTCGAAAAAGCAGTTATCCTGACACTGGCTGGCATGTACTTCGGGGAGTTGCCTGTGGGCTATTATAGCTAACTAGCTATGGAAAGTAAATACCTATTTAGAATACATAGTACCTACAGTAATATTTGCATAACCTACAGCAAAATACAAAAACATGAAGAAAACATAATTATGTTACACTTTTTTGTGTTTGTTTTAGAAATTGTTATATTTTTTTTCAAAAAAAGTTTTTTATGTTACCGTTTTTAGTTGAGAGTTATGTCCCTTTAGTGGGTACAGGCGTGATATTATATTGTGTGATTGTGTAAAGAATGCTTAGATAGGCGATAGCAGCAATCGCGGTTGATTTGCTGTCATTTATTGAAGAGTGCCCCCGATTTCTCCAAGATCCCATCATCAGATCCTGATCTGACCATCATCGATTACCGTGGGATTATCTGGAAAATATATCCTTTCAAACAAAAAAATAATTTTCCAAATCGGTTCAGGCTTCAGACATCTTCGAGAAATCTGGGGACAGAACATACATAAAAAAAACCAACGCATTGAAAACCACCTCCTTTTTTCGAAGTCGGTAAAAAAGTAGGTAAAACAAATCAATGGAATTATTATATAATAACATCATCTACTTAAGTTCACATAAGAACTTTCATAATAACAACTAAGTACATAAATTGGGTTCATAATAATTACGTTTCACACAGCAGATCCTAAGTTATAATAACACCAATTTGTTTTCTCTCTCCTTTCTCTTTTTAAAATACGTTACCCCCACAGTAGGATTTTCTCCACTATCGTGGAGGCAGTTTACAAACATAAATTGCACAAGGACAAACATCCAGACCCGGAACAACTATTTGTAGGTCATACAAATATTTGTTCCGTGGGGGATTCGAACCCGCGGCGCCCAGCGCAGCCTCATTGCTAAGCCACTGTGATACGGTGCTCAAATTGCCGTTTGAGTTTATGTTATTATTCAAAAATGAATCGCATAGGTAGGTACGCGATGACGCCGTCTCGCATTGCGTCACTCGAGTGCGTATGTGTGTGTGCACTAGCTTCTTACTGCTCATCACAGCGTCTATCCCTTTCGCACGTGATGTCGGCTGAGATAGCATACCGCCCACTACTTAGTTCGTGCCATCGACTAGGGCAACCTTAAGTAGACTGTGTTATTGCTTATCATCCATATGCTATAGAGAAATTATTGTTTTTTTACCTTCAAAACTGGAATTAATTTTTTTCAGCTATGTCGTAAGAGATCTCGAAGAAGTACAGCGAGTGACAAAAGCCTGACAAAGGCCTGGTGATTGCAAAAACGGGTGGTGAGGTGGGGAGGGAGGCGCTAGGGATAGATATGAATGCGTGCCTTGCGCTCGGTGTCGATGTAGTTGAGCCAGAGGCGGTGCGCGGGCGCGGCGAGCTGGTCACGCGCGGCGGGCAGGTCGGGGGCCCGCGCGCCGGCTGCGGGCGCGCTCAGCGTCACCTTGAACACCTCCTCGATGGCCGGCTTCTTGCACGCGTACAGCTCCTCCCACACGCGCCGCGCCGCACCCGCCATCAGGTTGCGACCTGCGCACAAGCACAAGCCCCACACGCAACACCTTTTATATACCTACATACTTGTTTCCAACAAACTAAATTTATACTGTTCAAATATTTCTTTTATTCGGACCGATATCAGTACTCAATTTACCCTCACATATTGTGAGGTTAAATAAAGTACCTCTATAAATATAATAAAGTATCTCTTTAAAGTATTAAGCTGTTGCTTCTGATCCGATTCTTTATCAACATGAGTAGTACATACCTTGATGAGTGGTGAGTCTGTCATCTCTCGATTCCAAATCCCCACTGGGATTGACATGCCACGTAGTTCGCATGTGCGAGTCTAAAACGATCTTCATGTTAGCGCTCAACTGAAGTAGACAGTACGTAAGACAACCAATAAATTCTAGCTCGTGGTTACCAGCGCCGAATATTAATAATCTGTAAAAAATAATATAATATTGTTGAAATTCGAAAATCTAAATTAGCAGGCAGACTTAATTCTGCAGCACATGTTGTAAGAGAGATCAGAAGTCTCACCAATGTTGAGACAGCTAGATTAATTTATTTTAGTTACTTTCATAGCGTAATATCTTATGGAATCTTAATATGAGGTAATGCACGACATTGAAGTCATATTTGTTTTGCAAAAGAGAGTCGTACAGGCGATTTATAACTTAAATTGTAAAGAGTCCCCTTGAGAAAAATTTAAACAAATAAACATGTTAACATAGGCATCGCAATATATTTATGAAAATGTAATGTATGTACATAAAAACATAAATAGCTTTAATAAGAATAAAGACGTTCATACTTTAAACACGAAGAACACATAAGCTTGTAAATACCAATTACTAGACTCCACAGAATTAGTAATTCATTTATGGGGCAATGTATACGCTTTTACACATCGATATAAAGGACAACATATGGTCGTGCGAACTAAATTTTTTCACGATTTAAGTATAGAATAAATCAGCGCCATCTCTTAAATACTCTTGGAACCGAACCAGTGCTTCCCACTTATGATTTTGGTTTTATCCTAGAACCCGTAGAAATACTCCCTAAATTATCGTAAAAAAATAGCCTTATTCACACCTTATTTTAAATATTTTAAAGAACAACATCATTGCAAGTTATGATTATCATTTCACGATATTTTTTTAAGAAACTTTAAAAAAATTTAAAAAACTTGAGTTTGGTGATGAGAAGAGTCCAATAGTCTTATAGAACTCAATATGTAGCTAAGTATATACTAAATGAAATGTAACTAAAGTCAACCAAATCTAAGAAATACCTTTTGACAGCTGTCAGACTTATTGCACCAAGCATGCCAACCAAAAAATGGGAACGTACAATATTCGATTCTTGAAAAAATCGATATCGATTATTTTGAGTTGATAATCATTTGCAGTTTGGTTTGAATAATACCAGAATGAATTAAAAACGGATAACGGGTTGTTACTGCTTATTTCAAGAGGCACAGTTATAAAAATTTGAGATTGAAACTAGATTAAAAATAAATTCATTCAATCACTTTCAGTACAACTAGTAGATATGTCGTTGTTTATATTAATTATTATTTGATTTCGAAAAATGCAGTCAAAATTAATGTCTCTTTCAAAGCTATCCATAATAATTTGTTTTGTTTTTCTACCACTTTTCCGAATCATCATTTGGGACGTGGGCACATGCTTCAACGAATATAGAAGAAACAATCCAAAATGTTAAAGCCGAGTCACAAAATAAGAACACATACACAAAATCACAAAATTACACACAGTAAGCTCTCGAAACAGAAACATAAACTTTTTTATTCAATATAGATTATGAATAATACTTATTGAAAGTCACTTTTTCATTTACCACTGGTTCGCAAAAAAAACCTCTGTCCTGGGAAGAACCAGCAAGAAACCCAACGGGACTAGTATAAAAAAAAAGAGCTATGCGTGTTACAAATTACAACACAAAAAAAAATAGAAATAGCATAATATCATAATAGAGAATAATATCATCCATAAATTCCTTAATATTAAAATAACCCTTTTTGTACAAACTTAGTTTAATAAAGTTTTTGAACTTTGTGTACTTACGTCAAATTACATCGCCCCAAGAATTAATTACTGACTCTGTGGAGTCGAGTAACTGGTACCAAAATGGCGGGATATTGAAATTATGTAGTGGTTATCTTAGCACGGCCTTGCCTTTGAGTTTTTTGCCTACACAAATTTACTTTGCAACGTAAAAAAATAAAATTGTTTTATTCATGATTCATGTAATTTAAATAATTTTGTAAATAAAAATTAAATTGAACAAATAATACATTAAAAAAGTTAATGATACGATTATTTGAATACTTTTACCGATTATTTGAATATTTTGGCGATTATTCGCATAGCAATGAATTTTAATCATCCGAACACTACGGTAATATACATAGCGACATATCATTGAAACGACGTCATTGTAAAAAATTAATCCTGGTTATTTTTTAATATTTTGCTTTGTTTGAAAAATTCAAATTTAAATTAGTGATAAAAAACTATACACATTGTAATGAAATATAGATAACTTCATAATCCTTCGGATTTACCTACGTTAAAGGTTATTTTAATTCGTGTGAGTACGCTGGTGCAAAGTTATTGCGGAATGATTAATGTGAAACGTCAAAACGTATTTATTAGATTTGGTTGACTATAAGTGTATAACATTATTCCGATATACAGTATGAAAAACTTATTCGTTCTACACTTTTATAGCTTTTTTCACTCTATACCTTTCGATAAATATGTAAAAAAATACATTGGGTAGGTATAGAAAACAGGGTTACCTGAAGTTCGATTTCACCCCAAATCATCCAAAACCCTGTCAACTTGAAAAAAGCCCTACCTATATTAGTAGATTTACCATAAAATAGTGCAAAATATTTAAAATTGGAAACACTGCACGGACGCACGTCACGCTTATGAGCCCGCGTTGGTGCTCCTGTCACATTTTAGCACCAATGAGTCGGTGCCAGTTAGAAGAAAGCATGGTTAGATTTACTAGCAACCAAAGCTGGTAATTCTTCTGGTATGAATGATGAGATTGAAAGAAAAAAGGCAGAATTTAGACGTCTAAATAAGAGAGTAAAAGAAGTTGTTGAAAGGAAAAAGAAAGAAAGAACGGATAAGAATGATAGAAGAATATCTGATAATTTCCAGGCTAACATAAAAATGTTCTGGAAACTCGTAAGAACTGCCAGGGGAAATACAAAACAGCCTATAATTAGTGCTATAAGAGACGAGAATGGATGTATTCTGAATGATGAAGTTTCAAATTTAAACAGATGGAAGGAATACTTTGAAAGCGTGTTTATGAGTGAAGAGTCGTCTGAATTAAATGAACTAGAAATTCCGAAAGTAGTGGAAAGGGGTATGGAGGAGTAAGTGTAGATGTAATAACGAAAGCAATGAAAAGCATGAAAGCAGGTAAGGCAGCTGGATATGATAGAGTATCACTCGAGATGCTAAGGGCTGGAGAGGGAGTGGTGGCAGGCCTGCTGTACACCTTGTTTAATTTATGTTGGGAATTAAAACGGGTACCGGATGACTGGTGTAAAGCAGTTATAGTACCAATATATAAAGGAAAAGGGTCACAGCAGGACTGCAAAAACTACCGTGGTATCAGCTTGCTTAGTATTGTGGGTAAACTGTATGCTAAGGTGGAAAAATTTGGGATGTGCAAGCGGGTTTTAGGAAGGGAATGGGGTGTACAGATCAAGTCTTTTCCATGCGCATGATTGCGGAGAAGTTTTTAGCCAAAAACCAGAAAGTTTTTTGTGCGTTCATGGACTTGGAAAAGGCTTATGACAGAGTGGACAGGAATGTGTTATGGCAAACACTGAACTCATATGGGTTGAGCGCTGGTTTGATACAGGCATTAAGGTCTCTTTATAGGAACTCTAGTGCTTGTGTCAGGATCAATGGGGTCTACTCGGACTGGTTTGGCATTCAAAAAGGTGTCAGACAGGGCTGTGTAGCTTCCCCTTGGCTGTTCAACCTATTTATGGACAGGTGTTTGCAAACTTTGAAAGATGAAGAATGTGGGTTAAGAATGGGAGAGTTAACCGTCAAACGCCTTCTGTATGCCGATGATCAAGTCATATTTGCGTCATCGGCGGCTGAGTTGCAAATGATGGTTACATTAATGAACTGGGCATTAAAAGAAAGGGGAATGAAAGTGAACGCAAGTAAGACGAAAGTGATGGTTTTTGAAAGAGAGGAAAGCAAAACGGTATGTGAAATAAGAATAGAAGGAGAGTTAATTGAGCAAGTGGATGAGTTTGTGTATTTGGGATGTGTATTCAGCAGGGATGGTAGATATGATAGGGATATAATACGACGAGTAAATGCAGGGAATAGAGTGAATGGGGCACTACACTCTATTATGAAGAACCAGAATTTGTCAAAAAAGGCACGTATGGTAATTCATAATGCTGTGTTAGTCCCTACTTTAATGTATGGTAGTGAAAGCTGGGTGTGGCAGAAGAAGCACGAAAGTAGAATAAATGCTGTAGAAATGCGGTCTTTAAGGAATATACTAGGGTTGAATTTGAATGACAGGGTGAGAAATTGCGTGATAAGAGATAAATGAGGTATGCAAGATGATGTTGTGACCAGGATTAAGAAAGGAATGCTTCGGTGGTTTGGTCATGTGGAAAGAATGAATGCGGAAAGAGTGACAAAGCAAATTTATATGGCAGATGTGAACGGCCGAGTCGGGAAGGGACGCCCTAGAAAAAAGTTTATCGACCAAATTGGGATATTTTGAAAATGGGCCACGTTAGAAGTACCCTTAACCGACGAGCATGTATGCGTAGATATATGGATGTAAAGGAGGCGAAAGAGGTATGTCAGGATCGTGCCAAACGGAAGTCCGTAGTCTCTGCCTACCCCTCTGGGTGACAGGCGTGAGTGTTTATATATTATATATATGAGTCGGTGCCATTTTGTTTGTTCAGTGACCCTGTCCATACGCTGTAGTGTGATAAGTCTATGCTTTAACAACAAAATCCCAGAAAATGTTTTTTTGGGATTTTTTCTCTAATTTGTCATCAAACAAGTTTTAAATGTTTAAATATGTCTAGTTACAAATATTGAATAATTATAAAATCAAATAGGCTCTAGAATTAACAATATGTTAAAATAATTTTCTATACCTGTCTGGTTTTCTATACCTGTTTGTAGTAAGTTTGTGCAAGGCTTCAAGCATGAACATCTGGTCAGCTATTGAGTCAGTTCAGCGGGACAGTAGGTAGAGTATTGTTCTATTGACATAGTGACAATTTGTTAAAATAATTTTCTATACCTGTTTGTAGTAAGTTTGTGCAAGGCCTCAAGCACGGACATCTGGTCAGCTACTGAGTCAGTTGAGCGGGACAGTAGGTACAGTATTGTTCTATTGACACAGTGACAATTTGTTAAAATAATTTTCTATACCTGTTTGTAGTAAGTTTGTGCAAGGCCTCAAGCACGGACATCTGGTCAGCTATTGAGTCAGTTGAGCGGGACCGTAGGTACAGTATTGTTCTATTGACACAGTGACAATTTGTTAAAATAATTTTCTATACCTGTTTGTAGTGAGTTTGTGCAAGGCCTCAAGCACAGACATCTGGTCAGCTATTGAGTCAGTTGAGCGGGACAGTAGGTACAGTATTGTTCTATTGAGACAGTGACAATTTGTTAAAATAATTTTCTATACCTGTTTGTAGCAAGTTTGTGCAAGGCCTCAAGCACGGACATCTGGTCAGCTATTGAGTCAGTTGAGCGGGACAGTAGGTACAGTATTGTTCTATTGACACAGTGACAATTTGTTAAAATAATTTTCTATACCTGTTTGTAGTAAGTTTGTGCAAGGCTTCAAGCACGGACATCTGGTCAGCTATTGAGTCAGTTGAGCGGGACAGTAGGTACAGTATTGTTCTATTGAGACAGTGACAATTTGTTAAAATAATTTTCTATACCTGTTTGTAGTAAGTTTGTGCAAGGCCTCAAGCACTGACATCTGGTCAGCTATTGAGTCAGTTGAGCGGGACAGTAGGTACAGTATTGTTCTATTGAGACAGTGACAATTTGTTAAAATAATTTTCTATACCTGTTTGTAGTAAGTTTGTGCAAGGCCTCAAGCACGGACATCTGGTCAGCTATTGAGTCAGTTGAGCGGAACAGTAGGTACAGTATTGTTCTATTGAGACAGTGACAATTTGTTAAAATAATTTTCTATACCTGTTTGTAGTAAGTTTGTGCAAGGCTTCAAGCACGGACATCTGGTCAGCTATTGAGTCAGTTGAGCGGGACAGTAGGTACAGTATTGTTCTATTGACACAGTGACAATTTGTTAAAATAATTTTCTATACCTGTTTGTAGTAAGTTTGTGCAAGGCCTCAAGCACTGACATCTGGTCAGCTATTGAGTCAGTTGAGCGGGACCGTAGGTACAGTATTGTTCTATTGACACAGTGACAATTTGTTAAAATAATTTTCTATACCTGTTTGTAGTAAGTTTGTGCAAGGCTTCAAGCACGGACATCTGGTCAGCTATTGAGTCAGTTGAGCGGGACAGTAGGTACAGTATTGTTCTATTGACACAGTGACAATTTGTTAAAATAATTTTCTATACCTGTTTGTAGTAAGTTTGTGCAAGGCTTCAAGCACGGACATCTGGTCAGCTATTGAGTCAGTTGAGCGGGACAGTAGGTACAGTATTGTTCTATTGAGACAGTGATGTAAGCCCTCCAGAGAAATCACCGATGACTTTTTCTTTGCTTGAGTTACCAACTTCACAATAAAGTCGAACACCTATTAGAAAATATACATGTTTTTACTAAATATAGACTAGGCTATATTTAATATGACACCGGCAAAACAAAAGTCTATTCTTAATCAAATATTTTATTCAATTTAGGCTTTATTCAAATTCTGTCATATTAAGATGCGCAATTGTGTAAAAATATTTGATAACAAATGTGTGCCTATAATTTTTGCTTCGGGATGTTTAGCAATACGCCTTGATAATTTGTCAGATATATTAACAGAACTTCCACATAATAGCTTGTGAAGTTCTAGGGCTTTAATTATTCGATATCTTAGCAACAGCCTAAAATTACTTAGTATAATTAACAAACAAACAGGCAATATAAGATAACTCTGAAAACTGTGTAATCGTTACTAATCAATTATCTTCTTTTAGTTTTTTACAAGATAATGTCGTGATAATATAAACAAACTACTTGAAAGAAAAAAAAATGGTATTATTTTAGTGCACACGGTTAGTAGTCATTTAGTTAAGTAGTTTAACAAAAGTTTAATTTTTATTGAAGTTTTAAAAGGATATTTTTCGGAAATACATGTCAGTAATTTTAGGTTAATATAGCCGTTATAAAACATTATATTCATTAATTACTTATTCTTATATCTGGAAGAACAAAAGAAAAACAAGTGCATGTTAGAATCGGTTATTTATTGATGTTACGTGTCATAAACACCCCATCCAAATTACAAGATTTGATTTAATTGTTTTAATAGTACAATTTCGAAACCTTTTCTTTTTAACACAAAATATTTAATTACTTATTTTTGAAATAGGTAGCGTTCAACTAACTATAATGACCTCCAACATATTTTCTATTTCAAATTCTAATTTTTCATTCCAAAACGGAATGCCTTACAACCTGTAATTATGCTTACTTTAAGGCTTTATCGGGCTCTCTTAAGCTACAAACTAAATATTAATGGTGGGTGAACAGCTGTTACTGACAGATTATATATATATATATATATATATATATATATGTATATATATATATATATATATATATATATAATGATGCATTCAAGAGACCTAGTACTATGGAGTGTAGAGGTAAGGAGTACAGCCTCTGTATAAAAAAGTGTCCGTAGGAAAGCGTTAAATAAGGGTAGCGCCACTGTTGCTACAGTCTAAATTTTAAAGAACTTTTTATAATTTTTTATTGCAGTTTCTCAGTAGCTACTCGAGCGCTGTAGTGGATTGTTATTTACTTCTTATAGATGGAAACTTTTTCAACTATTCTCCTATGGGAGTTGGTACTCCTTACTTCTACACTCCATACCTAGTACTTACCTACCCAGTTAAATGCATGACAGGTCATAGTGTACATAATTAACTTAAATGCAGACAATTTTATGTCATTTAATCCCAATCCATGACCTACCTCATGAGGATCTCTAGAAAGCTGTCCTTGCCACAGTTTATCTACGAGCCTGGCTGCTAAGTAGCACACGTTGGAAATATTACACTCCGATCCGAAGAGTTCCGTGTTTAATAGATTCTCCATCAGAGTTGTCAACACTTCTGTCTGGTATTCAATTTGCTGGTCACTGGTAGAATTGGGAGGCGAGGCGTCCAAAACCAGGTCGATCACCTAAAACGTAATAGAGATACATACGATATATTTTTATTGCAATAAAACAATTGCCAATATTAGTAATCCATTTGATGTGTGCGTGCTTTTAGTAAAATTATACCACACTAATCATCAATGTTAGCACAAATAATTAAGTTCGCCTAGTGGCACTTTTAAAGTTTTTGTTTTAGCAAATAGATTTAATTAATAATTGAACGAGTTTTAGTTTTTACGCTAATTTAAATTCCACAGGACAATTTTTAGATTAATGTAAAATGACTCAAATACATTCTAAAAGGCCTGCTCAACTTTTGGTGATGGTAAGCGAGCTAAGGGCAGTTGGTAAAAAATAATGAGATAAAAAAACTACAATACAATTTAAAAAGCCACTTTAACAGCAGTATTAAATAAAAAAAAATTATATAATTTATTTATTAATTGAAAATACATTTCCAAAAAGTAAATAGACACATTTTAGTGGAAAACCTTATTTATTGTAAATAATCAGAATTATTATTATTATTCGTGAACACTTACAGATTATTGTTAGACAATATATTAAATGATAATTTTTATATCTAACTAAAGGCTAATTAATTATAAACAAACAAAATAAAGTGTTATTGGAAGTAGAAGCAAATTCAGCGATTTATAAATTAAATGTGTAATTAATGAGCAATGTAGTACCTGGATTCGGCTAACAAAAATAATAATAAGTTGTAAAAAATATTTCAACGCCTCACTTTAGTCAGATTAGGCAGGATCAAAAGTTTCGCATAGAAAATCAGATCAAGAACTAATATGTTCATATTGTTCTTGTCTTGTCTTCATCTTTAGAGACCCATCTGTTGGAATACCTATGAAACTCCTTTGGAGGTCATTGAGCATAATGATTTAAGCCCATTCAGAGTCATGATATGTCAACGTTTATGCCAAATCTATCTATCCAGTAGTGTTTGGCACAGTATGCTGGAAGTTGTCGATGAGTAAGTTCAACTTGGCTATATGATAATGCTTAAAAAAGTCGCTCATAGATCTACGGTGAGGGCTTGTCTGTATGCGTGTGCGCGTGCGTGTGTTAACGCATGCATACGCGTGATTGACGCGTTTATGCGTGCCTGTGTGCGTGCATGCGTGCGTGAGAGCACGCGCGTGTACGTGAGTGGGTGCGTAACTGCGTGTCTGCGTGCGTGCTGCATGAGTGCCTGCTCGCATGCGAGCGTGCATGCCTATCTATCTGCGTTCGTGCTTGCAGAGGACGTGTATGCGAACTGTTACATCCCTATTTACACTGTCACATCACTATTTGTTAAAGTAAAATGCTTGACTTGCAATTATTGCTGGTTTATTCAAATACAATATTAAAAATCAGCAATAATTTTGCTATAAATACTCAAGACTTTCCTAAATTCGTTCATTTGGTTATTCTTCAGCTAAACTGCTCCCCAGCTACGGACCTGGTTCTTGCCTGCCGGCTGGCTATCAGTGAAAGCTAAGAATACACCTCGGGTCTACTCTGCCCTTCGCCAGGGCTATCGCGCTGTTATAATCCAAGTCGCGTATAAGTTTTATGTAATAGTAGAAATTCTGTGTCCGAACTTGTGTATGAGTAAAACTTTTAATTTTAATAAATAGTTGTCGAAATTTCAGTACTGTTTTTTTTAAAGTGCTGGATAGGACAATCTAACATTTGGTGTCAGAAGAAAAGGGATTTCTGAAGTCCCTCGGATCGCCTACTCCTGACAACGACCAGATCCACTCAGAAATCGGTCCAGACTCGCGATCCTGAACTAGCAAGTTGGCCACCTGCTGTCCCTGCCTGTCTTCCTGACGCTGTAAAAGGCCGCCGCCAACCCTAGTCATCGCAGACAACGTGTCAGCATCGCTCCATTGTGCGTGAGGGTTTTCTGCCTAGCACCGAGTTATTGGCTGCACAAAAAAACTAATATTTCTACACAAAATACATCGCGACACTTGGTTTGAGCGTTGACCCGTACCAACCGCAAACGCTGCACATTTCATCACTTCCGCCGCATCGCCGCACTGTCACCCGACACCGACGTCACCGAGCCGCCGCTGTTTCCATGAAATCGCTGTATCTACTAATAATACTGTGAGTGTTGTTTATTCGATTTATGTTGATTTATTTTTGTCATTTGCATTATTTTGCGTGTGGATATTTTATAACATACTTATATTAAACTCTTAATTTCCTACTCCGTTTCACGTAATTAATTAAATTAATTCTTGAAAATGGTTAATGCACCATTCAAGAATTTTATAACATACAGGTAAACTTGAAAAGAAAAGCGTTCAGTCGTGTTCAAGTTTGCAGACTGTAGGCATAGAGGAATTAAATTTTTCAATCCTCACTAAATTTATTAAGGCATTCGATGGCGATAGGAATAAATTATCACCATTTATTAAAAATTGCGAAAATGCTTTAAACCTAGCTACTGCGTCGCAACGAAGTATCTTTATCAAATACATAATTTCCCAACTAGAAGGCAAGGCTGAGTCCGCCTGCTCTCTTAAAATTTTTGAAACCTGGTCCGAGTTGAAACAATTTTTAAAATCCACATTTGGTGAAACCAAACATAGGGATCGCTTACTTTTAGACTTACAAAGTTGCAAACAAAAAATCGAACGAGTCTGTCACACAGTATAGTTTACGAATAGAAACATACCTCACACGTTTACAGACGGACATTACACATTCCACTAGGGACCCTGGTGAATTAAGAGGTAGAATCGCCAGTACAGAAGACTTGGCGCTACATACCTTTTTACTGGGCTTACCTACCCACATTTCAAATATCGTAAGGTGTCGTAATCCTACCTCTTTACAAGAAGCTATAAATCTCGCAATCAAAGAAGAAAAATTACAAAATTATATTCAATCTACTAGAACTTCCGAATATAGACCAAATTGTAAACTTTGCGGCAAGTTAGGTCATTCAGAAAAAACATGTTTTTTAAATCGCCAACGTCATATTAACAACTTTCAAAATGAAATCCCAAATCAGGCTCAACCTTCTATGTCTTCAAACTCGCAAAATAATAACTTTTGTAGATATTGTAAAAACATGGGTCATGATATATCTCAATGTCGTAAACGCCAATTTAACAACTCTCGTAAAAGTAATAACTCTACCAATCAATTTCAAAAACAAGTACATAATCTCACACCAATAAGCGATTTTGATAATAAATTTGATAATCCAAACTCTGAACTAGATGAAAATTTAAACTAAATAAGGTTCCGGTTACGCGTCGTACGGAATCTTCAACTCAAACCGACGCTTTTGATCTCTTATCGAGACAATTTCTCAATACTAATCCTACTAAATCCTCTGAATCTAATACTAAATCTACTATAAGCACTGAATCCAATTCCAAATCCACTGAATCTAACACTAAACCTAGAAAATCCACTGTATCTAATACAAAATCTACTAAATCCTCTAAATCGAATACCATGTCTATTAAATGTAATAAAACTACTGAATCTAATACTATACCTACCAAATCCAATCAATACTCTACTCCTATGTCTAATAAGTCTACTAAATCTACTATATCAAATACTCCTACTAAATCTTCAAAGTACAATGCATCTATGTTACCTACCATGTCATACAATGAAAATAACAATTGCCCATCAAAAAATAACAATTTAAATAATGTTTCTGATTCGTATTCTAATTTATTTGAAATTAATTATAACAATAAAATACATTTGCCTCATGTGTATATTAAATCTAAATATTCTGATAAGTTACTAGTTCTTTTAGTTGATTCCGGTGCAGGTGTATCACTAATAAAACAATCCTCAATGCAAATTCAACCAAAATTATTTTCAGAAATTGTTCAGTTTAAAGGAATCGACAAAAATACGGAATACTTAAAAAGTCTTGGTCACTTTCAATTAGATTTTATATTTCCAAATAATGACGTTATTTTCGGCAAATTTCATTTAATACCAGATTGTGTCGATGTAGAATTTGATGGCATTATAGGTAACGATTATCTCAAGTCTCATGATTCTAAAATAGATTACAGGAATAAGATTTTAGACATAAAAGATCATGTTCTACAAATTCATTTTTCCAAACCAGAATATACTATTCCAGCACGTTCTGAAATGATTGTAGAATGCTATGTTCTAAATTCCGAAGTAACTACTGGATATATCGATAAGTCTGAAATTCAGAAAGGTGTGTTTTTATCTAGTTGTCTCGTTACACTTAAACAAAACAATCATGTCACTGTATCAATCCTTAACACTAATACTGAAGATGTCAAAATAAAATCTCTTTGCGTAGTTCTAAACCCTTGTGACTTCTTAGATGATTATTTACATAATATTAACACTCTAAATCTTTCTAATCCCATCAATCAAAATACTATATCAAATAGATCCTGTGAAGTTAAGAAACAAATACGAACTTCACATCTTAATTCTGAAGAATCAAAAGCCTTATTTGACTTATGCTCTGCATATTCCGATCTGTTCTATTTAGAAGGAGACACTCTTACTTGTACCAGTACCTTGGAACACAAAATTAAAACTACTAATTCACAACCAATTCACGTCAAAACTTATAGATATCCTGAATGTCATAAAGAGGAAGTTAATAAACAAATACAAAAGATGCTCGATCAAAATATAATCAAACCTTCAAATTCCCCCTGGTCTTCTCCCATTTGGGTAGTTCCTAAGAAACAAGACGCTTCTGGTCAAAAGAAATGGCGTATAGTCGTAGATTATAGGAAATTAAACGACGTCACTGTCGGAGACGCTTATCCTATTCCTAATATCACTGACATCCTGGATCAGTTAGGTCATAGCAAGTACTTTACTACATTGGACCTGGTGTCAGGTTTCCATCAGATTCGCATGGATCCAGAAGATGCCCCTAAAACAGCTTTTTCTGTTCCTAACGGTCATTTTGAGTACACTAGGATGCCTTTTGGGTTAAAAAAATGCGCCAGCCACGTTTCAAAGACTTATGAAT